TATCACCAAATACAAGAGTCTAGACTACATGGGCGATGACTACTAAGACCAGCATTCCTCGCCGGCATAAAGCCTTGTGACGTCATTATGCATAAGCTTATTGACATTATTTTCTCACCTTGATAACTGCCCTGCAGGTTGACCAAGGTTGACCACCATCTGCTGCACGATGTTAGAGAGGTTCAGATTTGACTTTCCACAACGCTACCTCTTACAGGCCTAATACGCATTTGATTGGTTAATTGGGTAAATTAAATGCATCTGATTGGTTAATGCTAACGGTGTCCTCTCTATTGCAAGTCAGTGAAATCCAACGATTAGCCTCATGTTCCTCTAATTTTTGCATATTTTTAATACAGTTTGTAATCTAGAACTAAATGCACGTAAAATGTGCTATTATTTTTGTCATATTCCTAACAGCAAACCTTGGGAAATAATGAAAATATCAGTGTTATAGACAAGCTGCAGGTAAACGCACTGTACAACTGTGGTTAGGTAAGTGAAATATTAATTCTTCCGTTTCTTTGAACCTCCAACTGGCAAGTCAAGTTGTTGGATGTATCCACAGACTCCTGGATAGAACTAGAAGTCGTTAATGTCGGGAAGCATCTGAATCTGGGGTGTTTCCGTCAATGTTTTCCCTCCCTTGCAAATATTGTCGCGGAAACAAATTTTCTTCCAAACAAATCAAGATAATGATTTTGTTTCCCAAGGCCAAGCGTTGTTTCCAGACGTCCAGTCGAGAAACATGACTAGTAAACAACGTTTCCAGGTTTGCTCAACTTCGGAAAACATGGCCATGAAACAATGTTTCCGCAACAAATTTAGTTCCCTGGTTGCTCAGAGAAGTAATCAGTAATCCTACAGCTCTTACATCCGTGTATTCTGACTTCTTTAATTTTGTTTTTGTAGTTCCTTACATTTAATGGCTATGAAAACGGATCGACGAGAACATTTGAATGATTATAATAATGATAATATACTATACCAATGACATTAGTAAAAGAGAATCCAAATTGATCTTCTATACACATTTAATTATTAAATATTAGGCAAGCTTAATTTATTGATAATGCATGACTGTGTTTCTTTACATTAGTCTTTTATAAAATATTTGGCAAATGAAAACCTCTTCAAAGAGGGTGTTGAAGGGGTATCAGTGTGATCGTGATTGTTGACATTGTTCAATTTCGGTTACCATCAGTCGTGAAAACACTAAACATTTTACCGTGAAGCGTGAGGGAAAAAACACTGTTTATATTGTTTCAGAACACTTTTCAGCGGATTCAAAGATTTACCGTTAAAATACCAAAATCTTTACCTTTTACGGATTTTCGGACCCCCCCCCCACATCTAGCCCCCCCCCCCCACTTAGACCCTCTATATAACGTCATAATCAACAACGTTCATCAAATTGAGTGACACAAAAATTATTGTCTGTCGGTGCTGAAAATCAGGGGCGTAGGAAGCATCAAAAAGTTGGGGGGGGGGCGGTTTCGAGTGGCACTTTTCGAAAGAAAAGGGCACCTAAAACATTTTTCCGGAAATGTTGGCGGGGAGGTGAACTCAAAAAATTTTCCAGACATATCATTATTTTCGCAAACATACAAAAATCAGTTTCCCGGACATATCATAATTTTTTCAGAAAATAACAAATTTTTCCTGAAACACCAAAATACTAAAATAAATGCAATCAGAAATCAAAGGTTATTGAGGCAAACGGCGATTTCAACGAGATTCTTCACGTTGTCAGAAAGGCACTTTGCCACCGAAAAAAGGGCACTTTTGAAAACTTGGGGGCCTGCCCCCCGGTTCCTACGCCCCTGACTGAAAATATATTACCCCGTTTTCAAATTGTTGTCCTAAATGTCCTGATTTACTCAAGTATACTTTTCTTTCGCTTGGTTATCCGTTATTGGCCAGACTTTGAAAAAACGCATTTAATTAAAATTAAAAGAGAGCTTAAGCACAGGCGCTTCGCGTAAAAAAATCACAATAGAGAGGTTAAGATACCCTGGTTTCGGTGTACGGGTGCGAGTAGTGTCATCTTGTTTTACTGATGTCTGTAATTCGATCATACTTTTTCTGTTTTCTTGCAATAGACAATGATATAATGCGAAAAATGTGCACCTTAATTACGAGTAAAGGTACAGACATCGACGAAAATATTGCTAACCAAAATCATGCTACCCGTACACGTACACCGAAACCAGGGTATCTTAACCTCTCTAATTTTCGTTCGATTTCTGCGACCTTTGGGATACCACGCAGTCCAATGCTCTACCAACTGAGCTACGAAGTCAAGTCGGTTCTAGTTGGTGATATTTCGGAACTGAGTCTAGTTCCTTTGATATCAGTGTATTTCTAAGATATGATACTTTTTGCGTGTGTTGGTGTTATTGTGCTCAGGTGAATATGATTTTTGTGGTTTTACTCGCGGGTTCGATGCCCACTGTGGTCAGACAAACTTTTCAACTTGCCCGGTGTAGATGCACACTCAGAGTAACACAACAAACATTATCTTCCATATATTATAAAATCAAACTCTGATGACTTATGATAGTGAAGCTCAGTAAGAAACCATTGAGATTTAAATGCTTTTTTAACAATCACAATGTAAACTCACTTGGAGTCTTCTAACAGCATACTGATGACCATTCAAAATATGTATTGGTTGTTGCGTGTTGCGAACTCCCATACCTTGAATAAGCATTCAAAATTTAACACAGTATGAAGACTAACGAAATTTGGAACAACCAGCTCGACACTTAATCCGACATACCTGATCTCATTATTCGTTGACCCAGAAATAAGAATGTTCTGTAAGGAAAAGAGCAGTGGTAGTATGGTGTGCCATGAGAACTGAGGCACGGATAGTGACCACGTTTTTTGATTGCTTTCTTTAAAACAAAAGTGTTCAGAGACAGTGTGGCTCATTCTTTAGCAAAATTATTTATTACAGTTTATCTTTTATTGTCACAATAAACCAACCACAAAGCCTAGAGCGAGCCCAAGGCACAACCAAAACTGAAACCATTAAAAAACCTTCTTTCGATCGAACTTTACCTGATCATATTTTGTCCAATCACAAGTGAGTATTTCACCGCTACCTTCATGGTGTTATTGCTCATCAAATACTAAGTACACTGAATCTCCCTGTCGTAGCTATATGTTATTAGCTTGTTACGCTAGCTATTATGGTCCAATGGTGACCTGTTGTTGTGTATAAATATCCCACAATTGAATGGTTCCATCAGCACTGGAGCTTGCTATTATACTGGGCGATGTCTCACTCCAACAACAGTCAAATAATCCTTCTTGCCAGTCTAATCTTAAAGATGGGGAAGATAAAATGTTAATTATATGTTTAACAGGTGGGGTTTAAAAGGAGGTGGTCCCACCCATAGGCTTCCACCATGGGCAGAGCTAGGCTAAAGAGGCATGATTTGATAATGGTAAAACACTTTACAGATTGATCTTAGATTGACTTAGATTGATCTCAGACATGGATGGACGAATGACAATTAAGTAACAGGGTGCACCCTTGCTCTGCCACCACAGCTGCATGTTTTCACAATCCAACTTAAACAATACTAGTCAAGACTGACCTTTGTGGACAATTTCAGACTATATGTTATATAATTATATAGGGGTGTGCTTATCAGGCATTGAGTGGGTGAAGATTAACTGTGCATTCTTAAATAACTGCCGCACCACTACACTGGCTGTTAAAAGTTTCAAAAGGGGAAGCATATCCGCCAGCAGTGGTGGATAACAGTTTGGGAGAGGGGGCTAATTTCCATAACTTTTCTGGACATCCTAGAGGGGTGAGGGGAGTTGTCCCCCAGCGGCCGGTTGTGTAAAAAAGTGATTAAAGTTAACTATAGTTAAGTACAAACGTCATCCAATAAGAAGCGCCTATTTGAGAATTAATCACTATTTAACTACAAAATAGTGATTAAAAAAGTGCTTAAGAGTTTTATACAACCGGCCCCAGGTTAATGTATGTGTCTGCGAGTCCATAAAAACATATTACTCTATGAGTTGCACTCACTTCCTAAATAACTGCATGCCACTTTGCTGTTGTTGTTTACAGATATCAAGAATAAACAATGCACTGCATCCTAAACAGAAGAACAATGAATAGCCAACTGTGTATGTAACTCTTTGATTTGCTGGGGATTCATTTATTTTATATCAAAGAAGAAAATTAAAGAGGACAAGTGGAGTGAAGGATTGAAAATCTTAACTGTTTTCACGTTCTTTACATCTGTTCCCTGTAAGTTTCCTTGTTATATTTAAAAACATGTACGTATAACTTCTGGCAATTAAATTCTTAAACAGGAAAAGCGTAAAAGCGCCAGTTATAGGGCGATTATTGATATTATTAATTTAGCAAATTATTACATGTTTGCAGACATGCTCATCTCTATAACATTCGTAAAGAGAGTGGGAGTAATTGATGATTTCCCTTATTACGTTTTCGTAGCGCTTTGCATCGTGGTTATAGTGGTATCACTGATATTCAAGATGGCTTATTTTTTGTCCTGACCCGTGCAAGAACTTTTAAAAAAAAAGCTAGTGTCAGGTGCGCGATAGCCAACAGCAAAATATTCGCGAAAACATTCAATATTTTCATTCGAGGCCGCTATCTTTATCAGTGATACCACTTTTACCTCAATGGAAAGCGCTACGAAAACGCAATAAGGGGAATCATCTCTTATGGTTCACAAAAACTTCCTGCTTAATTCTATGAGCTTATTGGTTGTCAAGGCTGTCTTTACAGTAAAACCTGGCTAGGTCTGATACAAATCCCACACTTAAACAAAATTTGTTTGTCCTTTCTATACTAATTTTAACTTTCTTTGTGTTGAAAATAGAACCAAAGTTTCCTTATATTTACTTATTCACTTTTCTATTCATTAGTCTCATTCGATTAAATAAATAACGCAAATAATTATAAGTCAAGGGTAGGATGTATTTCAGTCACTTTTAGTTGGGCATTTGAAGAGTACGCAGTTTTAAAAGATTTAAGCTTTGAAATAAACTAGTGATGATTCTTCTGGTTTGTTTTGCGGTAACAGTTCTGGTGGTAAACTCCTGTGAAGGAAAACCAGCGCAGTTTAAAGGCTATCCCGAAGGTATTTTTTATAGATTTTTTTTTCAATTATATTTCACTTTCATTAATGCATAACTTGCGCGATGTCGCGTTAAAAGATCATTAGTTAAAAATGTTTTGTTCAAAAGAACATTAAAGTAGTTTTTACAATTAAATCAGTAACTTTTGCCTTGATCAACGTTTGATAATTGGAGTGAATTTCGTCTCAGGAAAATGTTCTAAAAAAAAATATTATATTCCTATCCTAGCATGCAGTTTCCGTGAACGAACCATTAGACGCAAGTTCGATTCGGTTAAAATTACTTCTGGGTTCTGATGACCTTTTATCAACCACAAAGACAAATTGCACTTAATAATATTTCTCGGTCCACAATTAAATTTTACTAAGCTGTAAAAGGCTTGAATGAATTATATTATAATTTGAATTGAAAAAGAAACTTTGTTTATTTTCTTTTGGGAAAGTAAGATCTGTGTTTAACTTAATCATACGTGTTTAAGTTAGTTTAATTATGTTTATCTAATGCGAACAGTAAATTGAGTCCCAATTAATTTAATAGAAGTTTCAATATTAGAAAAAGTACAGGTTTATGTGAGTGCATTTATTGGATCATTTAAATGTATCTGGCGGTTGAAGCACAAAATAATAGTTAAATGTTGTCAATTTAAATACAATTATCATTGATGGTGTAAAAATGACGCCACATTTATACCGATGCAGCAATAAAAGTAAAACTTACTGAAATTCAGACATCATTTTCTCTTTGGCGTACCATCTAAAATCTTTTCATTTTAGCATAATTTTACAGATAAAGTTAAGTTTGTTTGCCTTTTGAGAAACGTATTAAAAATTTAAAAAATTGATTATACAGTCCGATACCCAAGTGGAAGAGTATATATGATTAATTAGTTTTGAAGGCGTGTTGCATAACATACAAAACATTCTTCTCTTAAATCAATTAATCTATTTTATATAGAAAATAGAAATGTGAACAACCCAAACTTGTTTGAAGGTGACATGCTGGTGGACCCTGAAGTCAAGAAAATCGCTTTAGCTGGTGGTGATATTTCCATGGCAACAGCAAGCAGAAAACGTGGCACAACTAAACTTCATATCTGGCCCAGTGGCCGTATTCCATATGTCATCGAACCTTCGGTGCCGTCTAGTAAGTTTCTGCCCTGGTTTGTGCCTTTGCGCTACACGTTCAGTGTCTGCAGTTAGCCCTATAGCAAAACTAATTAAGAAAGGTCAAGAAACGGAAACATTTGGAAATAGCGATGTTCCTTCAAATGTTTTTCGATATGCCCACCTTTGGAAACATTTTACTATATACTTGTCTAATCTTTAACATTTAGTTCACAGAGATAAGATCGAGAAAGCAATGAGAGAATGGGAAAATGGAACTTGCTTGTCATTCGTCCCTTATGTTCAAAATAGTGGGGATGTTTATATGAAAATATCTGGAAACTTACCCGGGTAAGTCTTCATGCCCTTCAAAGATGTTGTACTGAGATGACGACAATTTGAGTCAACGGTCAAGCATTTTCAATGTGAATTAAACTAACTCTATTATACTGGATATAACTCCATCAGTTTTAAACTGTTCTTCCTATAGAGATCCACTAAGGGTCTTCCTTTATTGGTCCATTGATCTAGTAAGGGCCTTCCATTAATTATTGGAACAGATATAAACCTGTCGTGTTTGCCGGTCAGAGTTGAGAAAAAAGTCTCCATTCTTTGCAGATGCTTTGCGATTGTTGGTTACATACCTATCCCACCTCATTTACCCAAAAAATTCCGTGGTCTTACATTGAATCTTGGCCCGGGTTGTTTTCAACATCGCGTTTTCCTTCATGAATTGGGTAGGTATTTATTCTTGTTACCAGGATTCTATAGAACTTAGCCTGTCTAACAAAAGACAAGTTTAATCATCTAACAATCAAACTTCCCTTTTTATTTTTTATTTTTTATTTTTTAAGGTCATGTTATAGGATTCTACCATGAGCAATCAAGACCCGATAGGGATTCTTATGTGAACATACTGACGGACAACATCATGAGAGGTATGTGGAACCTTCCCCCTCAAAAAAAAAATAAATAAATAAATAAAAAACGGATAAGATTCCAAATTTTGAACTGTTTAAATAGAATTGGGCAAATTTAGGGAAAAAAATCAGGAAATATGAAAGAAAACCGATACATGTATTAAAAATATCAAGTAGGAAATATGTTTGGTCCGGAATTTTTTTTGTCCCTCCCCCCTCACCACTGTTCCTATGTTGTACAGATTATGTGGTAGTAAAGGTTTCACTGCATCAAAAATACACTTAGCTGCCTTTACTATAGCGGAGTGGCCATCCAAGGTACTTATCAATGCTTTTATTCTCATAGGCAGAGACAATGATTTTCGAAAATACGGGACTCGACGAATCGACTCACTCGGAAGTCCTTACGATTTGAAGAGCGTGATGCATTATGGTCCGAAGACATTTAGCAAGAACGGCCAAAACACCATTGAACCTGTAGACCCAAACGTAAGTATCCCGTGTTGGTGTCGCTTTTTGGTGAACTTCAGAGTAATTGACACTTATATACACTGTTAATTTTAAGGAGTTGATACTACTCCAAAAAAGGAGTAAAAAAAAGGTACCAGTTGACTCTGTTTTGGGAGTATATTTTACTCCATGATTTTGACTCCATTTTTAGAGTACTTTCTACCCTACTAATGGAGTAATATTTACCTTTGCAGGAGTAAAAAATACTCTAGTTCAAAACTTCACTCTCATTTTGGAGTTAAAAGTAACCCAAAAGTGGAGTAAATTTTATTCCTACGAGGGGATAAAAATACTCTGATTTAATTTTACTCTAATTTTGGAGTCAAAAATATACCAAAACTGGAGTAAATTTTATTCCTTACGGGCGTGAAAATTACTCTACTGTAGAATTTTACTCTTATTTTGGAGTCAAATATATACCAAAACTGGAGTAAATTTTATTCTTCATGAGGGTGAAAACTACTCTTATTTAAAATTTTACTCTTATTTTGGAGTCAAATATATACCAAAACCGGAGTATAACTTTTATTCCTAATGAGGGTGAAAACTACTCTTATTTAAAATTTTACACTTATAGGAGCAAAAAAGTCTTAAGCTTCCTCTCTTATTTTTCTCTTTTAATATCACCAAATAGAAGAGCGTAGACTACATTGTAATATACTTTATTTCGATTCCTTATTTTTGTCAGAGCTATAGTTCTCATAACCAAACATAATTACAAAATTTCAACTAGTTTCATAAAGAATAATGAAAGATATAATTGACTGAATACATCAAAATGGATTTCTATTCGGACAACCCTTTCTGAGCGCTGATTGGCTAAAATACGAACACGAGATCACCTGGAACTCACCCCGTGGGAGGAAACACCCGGAGAAAACCCACGACTTTCGGCAGATCGCTAACGGTAGCCTCTTTATTGCTAGTGAAATCCAACGACTAGCCTTATGTTCCCCTAATTTTTGCATATTTTTACTACAGTTTTTAATCTAGAACTAAATGCACGCAAAATGTGCTATCATTTTTTGTCATATTTCTAACAGCAAACCTTGGAAAACAATGAAAATATCAGTGTTACAGACAAACAGCAGGTGAACTTACTGTACAATTGTGTTTAGGTAAGTGAAATATTAATTCTTCAGTTTCTTTTTAAACCTCCAACTGAAGAAGTAGAAGTATTCCAAAGGTCGTAGGTTCGATTCCCGCCGTGGCCAGGCATATTTTTCAAGCCTGTCCGGTGTGGATATACACTCAGAGTAACATCACAAACATCTTATTCACCTGAGTACATTACACCAACACAGCAAATAACTAGAAGTCGTTAATGTCTGCCGGAAACATCTGAATCTAGAGTGTTTCTGTCAATGTTTTCCCTCCCTTGCAAACACTGTGACGGAAACAGATTTTCTTCCCAACAAATCAAGAAAATGATTTTGTATCCCAAGGTCAAGCGTTGTTTCCAGACGTAGACTCGAGACTAAATAACGTTTCCTTGTTTGCTCAACTTCGGAAAACATGGCCATTAAACAATGTTTCCGCAACAAAGTTTCCTGGTTACTCATGGAAGTAATCAGTGATCTTACAGCGCGCTTACATCAGTATATTCTGACTTCTCTAATTTTGTTTTTGTAGTTCCTTACATTTGGCTATGAAAACGGATGGACGAGAACATTCGAATCAATTATCACACGACTTAATTCATATTCTGATTATTGTAATATTAATAATAATGATTATACTATACCAATTACATGAATAATAAAAGAGAACACAAATTTATCTTCTACACACCTTTATTAAATATTAGTCAAGCTTAATTTATTGACAATGTACGATTATGTTTCTTTACATATAAGTCTTATTATAAAATTCTTGGCAAATGAGAACCTCTTCAAAATATAACGTCACAATCTGCAACGTTTATCAAATTGAGTGACACAAAAATTATTGAAATTTTTTTAAACTTAAAATCAAATTTTTTAGAGCTATTCTAATTCAATCGAAATGATATTTGATCCAACATAAATACCAAATTTGGTTTATAGGGTGACACACAAAACATCGCAATGAATGCTAATTTTTCTGTACTAAAAAGATATTAACCCGTTTTCAAATTGTTATCCTAAATATCCTAATTTACTCAAGTATGCTTTTCTTTCGCCTGGTTATCCGTTAATGGGCCAAACGTTGAAAAAAACGCATTTAATTAATTAAACTCTTTTTATTTAAAAATAAACCGTAACCTTACTCCCCTTACTCCCCGTTAACAGCCTCATTTGCTCGACTGCCCGATTCTGGGCCCGACTTTTGAGGCAATCTGTAACTTTCATAAGCTGGTGATGGCGGTTCGAGCTCTCTGTGTAGGGATTGGTATTGCTTGTTTTCTGAACTCGTTGAATTGCTCTGTAAGATGAAAACAGGATATTTGTTAAGTTGAAATACTGCTGAATTATTAAACAAGATAGTTGTATAATTTTGGGAACAGGTAATTGTATTCATAGTTTGTTTTTCAACAATTAAATATGTCTGACATAATTTGACATTTTGACCTCTCGGAAATGCAGGTGTGTTGTTGTACTGTACTTTTAGTCTGTCATACGGACAAGTAGAAATCGCATATTTTGTAAAAAGATGTGTTCACAACGGTTTCTCACAACAAGCTTGAAACAAGCATGTTGAAAAGGCATTGTAATTTGGTATTTCATTTACAACATTGCAAATATGTTGAAAATGACGACTGCACTAACATGGTTGCAGTACAAGCAGTGAAGACAAGTTGTAACAAAGTTGTTGTTTCAACAAATTGCTGCAAGGTTGTCACAATTAACAACTCACAAAGGGCTTAAAACAAGCCTGTTGAGAAGTCCTCAAATGCTGTTATGTTATCAAAAAATTGAAGAATTTTTGGGTTCCAATCAAAAATTGAAAGATGATAACTGCATTAAGGTGGGGAAGGACATTGGGATTTACGGTATGGCGGTATCAGCTTATTTTTCTTACAGTATTTCGGTATTTTCCTTGAAAAAGTGCGGTATTACAATATTGGAAATCTTGCGGTACACAGTATTTGCAATTTTGGACTCGAAAACTGTGGTTATTGACAAAATGTTCTTGCGGTATTACGGTAATACCATTACGGTATTGAATACCCCCCAATGCCCCCCTCATTAAGCCACCTGACTGTTCAATGAAATACTATTTCATTGGACCCAGATATGGGGAGACAGTGTGCATAAATGAAGACATCCACTCAATGAACACTAATTTTTTTTTAATATGTCTTCCAAAATAAATATACTTTACTTATTTGTTGATTGAACCTTTGCAAACTTTGACATAATTACTAGGCCAAAAAAAATATGTGGGTTTCCGGTTTCCTCTTGTAAAAACTTAGGTAGGGTAGGTCGGTTTTAACTTTTTTTTTTAAAAGTTTTTTTAAAATTTTCCTAACAACCGGACGCCATTTTGTTTAGTCAGTGCTTCCATATCCAAACATAAATTTCCCTAATATTGCCTCAAATTTTCATTTTCCATAAACGTTTTCCTCTGAGTGGAAACACTTACAAGCGTGATCCAATAAAAAAGTTTAGGGTCGGGATTTTGGCGTCCAAAAGCTAGGTAGGGTCGGGAAACCGGAAACCCACATTTTTTTTTGGCCCTAGTTTTAAAAGTCTGGGGGAGTAACACACATAGCTCCCCCAAAAAGCTGTTTACAACAAACCTGTTCAAGTACGAAGTAACGAGGTCCATCTTCATTATTTTCTGTATCTTGATTGTGATGCTCTGCTCCTTCAGCATTTGTTTGAAGCACATGATAATATGGTGAAGACAAGTTGCTATCTTCCCCTTTCTGACTACCCTGCTGTACTGCGAAGAAGGACTCTGTTCTTTTGGGGTCTCTTACTGGTGGCAACTCTTCATAAAATGGATACTTGTTGGCTGGGTCATCTTTCTTTACTTTCTCTCTTGGATTAAGCATGCTATGCCTTGGGTTTGCCATTTCATTTTGACTTGAAAACCTGTCTGAGTTTGCGCTGTCTTTACGATCAGTTTTATTTTCCTGTTTTGAATCTAAGTCATTGTTTTTAGATACTTTCGAAAATCGAAATATTCCCTTTCTTTTTTTCTCATCTTTAATCGGAGGAATATCCTCGTATGTGGAATCTTTGCGTTTAGTTTCCTTTTCGTCTAGTATTTTTGTGTTTAAAGCTTGATCTACTTGACTTTTGGTATTATCCATTGTTGGCGGGTCTTCATTGTTGGCTTGTTCAGATTCTTGTTTCCATTTATGTATTTGACTCTCATCAGGCAACGGCAGTTCCTCATAATGTGGGTCGTTTGTTGCAGTTGTAGACTGTTGTTCAATATTGACAGCATCCTGTTGTCTGTCTTCGTTTAAAGCATAATCTGCAAGAGTTTGTATGGTCTTGTTGTTCTGGTCAAATACTTGTTTACTATTGCGCTTTTTGTGTACATTCTTAGAAAATCTAAACAATCCTTTTTTGTTAGCATTCTTCTCTTGTAAATGAGGCAATGTTTCGTACTCGTGTTCCTTAGTTTCTGTTGACATATTTTCATTTAGATCCACATCTATGAAGTGGAAGGAATTAATAGGCATTTGAAAATGGTGTTCCTCCGTATTTTTTCCAATTCCTAGTAATCTAGTTCATGTACTGTATACTGTAGCTTTTTAGCCAACATACATTGTGAAAAAATTGTATAGGAATTTGTGTGGGTATGAACCAAAATCTGGTAGGAATAATGGACAACTTGCATGTTAGACTAAATTTTAATCTAAGTAAAGAGAAGGGAATCAAACACCACAGCTAAAAAGAACATAATGAAATGAGTAAAATTGCAAAATTTGATTGCAAAATGTTGTAAAGCTTGGAAAATATAGTCTTGCAAAGTTCGCAAATTTTGTATATGTTTGTATTACGTGCGGAAATTGTTACCATTTTCGGCTCAAAAATGGTAACAATTTTCGCACGTAATACAAACATATGCAAAATATGTAAACTTCGCAATGCTATATTTTCCGTATTTTACAACATTTCGTAACCAAATTTTGCAATTTTACTATTTTTTTTGATAAGTTCTTTATGGCAATTTACTTTTTTTTGCCCAGATCAAAAATTAGTCTAACATGCAAGTTGTCCATTGTACTGTATCATACTTACTAGCATAATTCCCAGCACAGTTGTCTTGAGGTATCTGGGCAGGAATAACATCAGTTGCCTCATAGAAAGGGTTGGAAATTGCCTGAAAAGATTTTGAGAATACATGGGTTAGATTCAGAATATAAAAGCTGTCATTGAACATGAGCTTATAGTTGAAATAAAGTTCATAAAGTGGATTGAAAACCTGACTATAACTGACTATACTACTGAGCAATCGTCAGTTTTTTTACATCAGATCTCTTTATAGGAAGAAACTGACTCTTCAAAAATTGGGTGGAAAGTGACCCTATAATCCTGGCTCAATTTCAAAGTAATATAGTGTGGACTGTGGAGTAATAAATAAGTGAAGCTTGTCTTTAGTTCAAAGTGATACACCTACGTGTAAATAAGCTATGAAGATACCGCAATACCTTTGTTGATTTGGTTTTTTTGTCTTGCGATTTCTCCACTAACTGCTGTGGTTCTTCATATGTTGCAACTGGTGGATGTGCTTCATTGTAGATATGGCTTTCTCTGGACTGTATTTCTGTTCGGTCTTCATAAGATGGATTTTTGAAGTTATATTCTGGCTTTCCTTTCTTCCCTTTCTTCTATATAAAAAAGACTTTGCTATTGCTTGTTGTAATATGGAACCTTTCACAATTGCTAATTTCATCTTTTCTCTGTTATCAGATAAGATATCATGTTATATGTCAGTTCCAAATAGCTGTTCCATCGTATGTCAACTACAATTAAGATATCATGTTAGATGTTAGTTCTAAATTGCTGTTCCATCATCTGTGAACTATATTTAGGATATACTATTAGATATGTCAGTTCCAAATTACTATTTCATCATATGTCAACTATAATTTTATCGCGGCAATTGCCGTAGAGGGAGAACAAAATGCCGTGGATCATTGCGGCAACGACGGCAATTTTTTGCCGTATAGTGCAATTGTTATACTATTCACTGTGCATTACTATTTTGATACTTGAATTCAGATGTTGATCAAATCATGCGTAAATCATTATTTTAGTCTCAGTTTTCTTCGGAAAAAAAAACAACTAAAGAAATACGTAGACATGTTTCTAGCTTGTCATAAATCCAAAGTAACAATAAAATTAAAGTTTTATTACAGTAATTTGAAAAATGCCGTGGAAACTGTCAGGATTGCCGTAGACAGCTGTTACGTTCTACGGCAATTTTTAACGCCATTGCCGTCGATTGATTTCAGGGAAATTCGAGGGCTGGGTTAGATGTCAGTTCCAAATTGGTGTTCCATCGTCTGTCAGCTATAATTGAAATATTTTGTTAGATGTCAGCCGAAAATGTCAAAGCAATTGTCAAACAGTATAGCTGTATAGTCATTCAGAGCCGCTGACGTGATTTATGTTTGCATCAAGTAGATCGTCTATAAACTTCTAATCTACTCAACATTTCAATGTTTCACATCATTTTAGATATACAGTGAACTATTTTACTTTTGTTAAACAATACCTTCGTATCCAATGTGTGATCTTTCCTTTCCTTTCTTGGTATGGATGGTAATTCTTTCAATTCGGCATCATCGAATGCCATGTTTGCAAAATGTCCAACAGTTGCCTTGCGTTTTTCCTTAGGTTAAGAAACAGAGGCGATTAATGGTTATGGATTTGAACAGACAATTATACGGAAAAAACAACAACTTGTGTATAGAGTCTTATATTGTGAACTACAAACTTCAATTGTTCTCCCTAGAGGTCTAGATTAGGACGATTCGTCCGGTGTTCCTACAGCTCAATTTTGGTACCAAATTTATCCGTGTTCAGGCTTTGTAAATAGGTACTGTAGTCCAAGCATGTACGGGTAGCAAAATAGAGAATGGTGTAAACGAGCATTGGAGACTAACATAGAGAAAGTTGTTCCTTGAGCAAACTGGCGGTGCTTATAATAGAATCAAATTGGAAGCATTCTCGTGCTTGTGTATGTAATAGACCTTTCCCCTTTTAAGTGAAATTTTGATCTAGACAAGTGTGGACAAAAATTTCATCACAGCTTCACAAAATTAGTAATATTCCAAAGTTTCGTTGCGAAATGTTGTAAAATGCGGATAGTGTAGCCTTGCGAAGTTTGCCGTTTTTCAGTCATTTTGATTACAAATGGGAAATTCATAATCAGATGATTAAACTGATTATCAATTTCCCGTTTGTAATGCAAAATGACTGAAAAACGGCAAACTTCGCAAGGTTATATTATCCGCATTTTACAACATTTTGCAACGAAACTTTGGAATATTACTAATTTTGTGATGCTTTTTCAAGCTGTGATGAAATTTTTGTCCAGGCATATCTAGATCAAAATTTCACTCAAAAGGGGAAAGGTCTATTGTCGTACTTCTCATGCTAACTTGTAGTTTCATGTTGCTGAATGAATACCTTTCAGAAAGCTGTACTTTATGTACATCATTTTACACCCGTTTTCAGAATTACGCGACCAAGGTGTCAGTTTTATGTTATTCGATCACGAAGTTCAAACTTTGAGTTTTGCGGTTCCTTGTCGATGTATATGCTTTGTATGCTTTATATAAACAGACTTAGTAGCTGATTACATGGACCGGGCCAGCCCGGTTAACCGGGCTGAAAAATGTCACGAAAATCTTCCTTGGGCCGCAAAATGAGTTTTAAATCGGGTTTAGGATGATTTTGCATCTATACTAAACCAATTATTTATCGCAAATTTATTTTACGCGAGTTTTAAAACCACAGTAAGGTCCTAAACAAACGAGTCAGCCCGGTTAACCGGGCCAGCTCGGCACCATGTAATCAGCACCTTACAATGATTTTCAAGATATTTTAGTGAGAATTATTGTAAAATTTAAGCACAACAAAATCATAACATCACCGTTATAGTCCAGCGCGCGTGTTTTATACTGACAGCTAAATTCCAGGATAAATTGTTATTTTTCAAACTTTAAAAGTTATTCACGGCACATATTTCTGTTGTGATGGTTTGTATTGTGCTTTAGTTTGTATATAAGTTATCTGACTCATTTTTGTTCAGTTTTGGTATTAAATACGGTTTAAAATGTCTTTAGAGTTTAGACAGTTTGTTTAATACGTTTGCTATTTTTAGCAGTTCTTGTGACATAAAACTGACATTTGAAGTAGGAGTATTTTTCAGAGAGGTCGCGTAATTGTGAAAACGGGTGTAAAGACTAAGTAGTAAGTACACCTTGCACCAACTCAAGTACGCGACAAAAATCATTGGAGTACCAGTCAGATATACTTTATGTACATCATTTTAAAGACTAAGTACACCTTGCACCAACTCAAGTACGCGACAAAAATCATTGGAGTACCAGTCAGATACGACTACAAATCTCGCATTATCGCACCCTGTGTCCCGTACATTGCGCTGATGGCCATCTGCGGGTCATCATCTACCTGTCATCATCTACCTATACTATCCAGGCTCGTGGTTGGTTGATTATAACAATGAAAGACGATAAAACTATAGAAATTGTCTTTCTAAAGAACGAGTCACGAACAATGATAATTTTTGTTTCTGAAAGCCAATCACAAAACATGATCATTTTAGATAGATCTTTACCCCCATCTGCCGATTACGACGGAGACCTGGGACGAAATGCACTGATCACTGTGTCACCGTGATACACATAGAGTTCCAGGGTTCGTAGCGGTCTTTGAAATCCTTGAAAGTCTTTAAATTTGGATGCAGGTCTTTAAGGTCTTTGAAAAGTCTTTAAATTGTGTGAAAAAGCGAAGAAAGTCTTTAAAAGTCTTGAAATTCTTTAGTGAGGAATTTATTATATGACTTATAATGGTAATAAAATATCGATTGATTGAAGCAAAGTTTTCGCAAATATCGACGAAAAGGTGCATTTTAGGATGTGATTTGACGGAACTATAATTACCGGGTAAAAATGGTGCTTACACTCGCAATTTTTCGACAGCTGATTGCTCTCAAAGGTCTTTGAAAAGTGTTTGAAAATAGGCAGAAAAAGTCTTTGAAAGTCTTTTTGAATTTTTTTGGTCTTGGAGACTACGAACCCTGATTTCATACCTGCTTATTCCGCTTTCGTCGTCTTCTCAAACAGTATACAATAACAATGACGATAATAACAAGTAGTATGGCCACTCCTGCACCTATGGCTGCTTGTATCTTAGGACTTTCCAAAGGCGTTGGCGATCTCTGGCCTGACGTGCTTCCAGGATCTTCCACCGGGCAGTTTATACCTTCATCTTTCAACAAATCACATTCCTCTTTAGTTGTGATAAAAACGACGCCATTCCCGTCTTGAAGGTCTGGTAGGGATCCTTTTCGCTGTAGTCTAAGTTGACCTCCATCTTGAATTTTCCAAACAGCCGCTCGCAAGAGAAGTTTGTTGTGTTTTTGTAGCATGGTGATATCTAAATTGTCTAGATACAGCGAGTCATCTGCGGCACGCTTCTTAAGTCGTTGTTCTAAATAGCAAATAGAGAAATTACAGCCATGGTCAAACGAGAATGAAGGTTGATGATGAAAGCTGTCTATATTCAGGATTGTCACAACAGCTGGGGATCTGGGGAGGCTGACACCTGTACCCAATAAGTGTAGTTGAGACGCAGTGTGTTAAAGCAGGGGCACTAAGGGACACTATAAACTGGTTAAAGATGACGAATGCATAGTTTTTCTTGTGTTGTGAGATAAATTCCAGCAATTTTTTCTTAATTGTGGGGTTTCCAACTGAAAACTAATTTTCACACGTCACGAATTTAACTCGAACAACTTCATTTTTACTGCACTGAAACTTTAGTGAGAAGATCGAGTTTCAAAACTCAATTCAAGATTGAGTCTACGGCCCTAAAAATTCTCTGGAATAGGATTCCTTTGTTTTGGCCAGCTAACTCGTCTGAAAAGTCTCGTATAAACAGGCATGAAATTCGTCTTTGTAAGCTGCTTACCTTCATATAAGAAACACTCAAACAATAAAGCTATAAAATTGAACCCTGATTCCCAATACCTACCATTCCAGTGTGATAAACAACCAATGTTCGGATTAACAAGCATTTCTTGAAGACAACTTTCAAATTTACATAACAATTCTCCAGCTTTGAAACTTGGCATAATAACAAACAACTGATCACCACTAGGCACACATCTCGGCACCGCATTTATAACTTCGGAACACAATGTATCTTCCGGACAGGATTTAGTATTGCTACATAAACTATCATTTCGAGGTTGATGATCTCCCTCGCACATCGCTTCATGAGTCAACGCGATTTCAATCCTTCCTTTCACGAATGAAAACAACCGATCCGGGTCCCAGCAGAATAGATCTAAAACCAACTTATCCATGCCAGAAACCTCTTCACTGACAGGTATACTAACTCTTAGGAACATTTCATTGTCAACGTAAAGTACATTAGTAAAGTTCACTGTAGTAAAAGCCTCTGAACTTTGATTCATGTCAGGTTTAACATTACATCTGTAGTCAGGTGGAGGGTAAGGGTTATTCTCAGAGGGACAAATGAGTTCTGTGTCGTTATCTTGATAAATGATAACAGGGCCTAGTTTTGTTCTGGAAAGAGCAGAAAGTCGAACTGGATCATTTGAGAAGCATATCAACCTGTGTGTTTTGACATCGTCTAGAAAGAAAGAAATGTGAACAAAGATGAATGTACTGTACTTCACTTAGAACTGGTACAGGTGAAACCCTGTGACCAGGCTTTGATTCCAGCAGTGTGCAGTAGTCAGATTATAATTTCACCCTCATTTACACGTGAGTTCTTCTAATTTACCCCTCCGGGTGCCCCAGTTTCGTCCTTAAATAATTAAGACATATCCTTACTGAACCTGTAGGAGGGGAAGTTTAGAACAGATACAGTAGAGCTATCCAGTATAAATAAAGTTTGGTCCTGATGTAAGATCTTTTCTTTTGTAAGCACTTCTAAACCTCACCCAAGGCATTTTAAAGATAAGTAAACTTATTAAGAGTATTATTGTTTCCAAACACTTCCTACCATTGATGAATATCGCAAAGCGTATTTCCATGACATGACCAGCATTGGTAGTATTAGTACCATTGGCTTTGACCATCACCATGGCATACTGTGGTACAATGTAGTCCTCATCCGTCGTTGGACCAGTATATGAAGACAACATTAACATCAATTTATTACCCTCGATAACAAATGGATAACTATTACATCGATCTTTTATCAATTCATATTTCACGTTGTGTTGTTCTCCCCCCATACCCAGATACCCAATAACACTCGCGTTTGGGGAACCTTCTTTAATCTGATTGGATGATAACGTAATCTGCGATCCAATCAAAGTGCGAGGAATGATGGTACAGTTGAATGAAGTTGTTTTCCTTTTGGCATGCAATCTGGTAAAATTTCTCGAAAGGACAATTCCATCATCTTGTACTGAAACGCCAATAATATATGTGGCATTGCTCTCAACGCGACCAGTTTTGACCAAATAACCATCTAGTATTTGAAATGGTATATTTTTTTCAGAAATGATAGTGTATGTTAGTCTCTGTTTCGGATTGCAAATGTCTTTGGTATTTGTATTGTCAGGGTCAGATACATTAAGGTTACCTACAACAGTGCCAAGGGATTGCTCATGTGAAACATAGAGTGTATTTTCACATCCTCTGCTTGAAGCTTCATTCAAATCGACAATTATCAAATCAAATTGTTTTTTGTAATATATCAAGCTGTTCCCCCTTTCACTGCATATAATTTCAAACGTTACCATCTGTTCTTTCTCAAAGTTAAGCTCTTTGATCAAATGAAGTGTTTTATTGCTGTTTATTATCTTCAAATACGAGTTTGTTTGGTTGTCGGCTGATAATGTGCAGTGGTGATCTGGATTTGAATCTGGGTCGAAAATGGTTATTTTTCCAACGGTTATGTCTTTCTCGTTTTCCATAACTTGTAGGTTGTCAATGTTGATATCTGTTGGCGGCTCGTTCACGTCTAAATAAAGTGAAAATCAATAAGAAAAACTTTATAAAATATTGATATATTCCTGCAATCAGTAAATATTAATTTACATACTCAGAGGAAGGACAATATATATTTACTGGGTGTCCCAAAAGAAACTGGACACTGTTTAATTTCATGTAACGTAAAAGCTATAAAAGCTGTCGCAATGGAATAAAGGTGAAGGTGGTGGTGATATGTGGTGATGGTGATCATGGTGATGGTGGTACTGATATGGTACCATGACATTCTGTCGACTGGAAAGCAGACGTTACCAGGCAGTGCTAAATGATCGCGATTATCGTTCGTTTCTAAAGTGCAGATGAGACATTTCGATGAACCTTGGTTCACGACAGGTTTTCCTCCAACAAAGATTGCGTCTCGTAGATGAGCTAGGATCACTTTACACAGACAGTATTTGATTATACAATGTTAAGCCCTGGACAAACTAGGAAACATTGTTGTGGAAACATTGTTTCCTGCCAATGTTTACCATAGTGGGCAAACACTAGGAAACATTAGTGAGAAACGTAGGGAATCCTCAAATGTTTCTGAAGTTGGTAGGAAACATTTTTGCTTCTCGGGAAGCAAATTTTGTTTCCGCAACAATGTTTCCACGGGTGGGTAAACAGGGAAATATTTGAAATAGGAAGCATCGAAAATTACAAATGTTTGATGTTTCCACAACAATGTTTCCTAGTTTGCCCAGGGCTTCACGGCTAGCTTTACCTTGAACTGAAATGTTAAACTCCTTTTGAAAACACTTTTCCAACTGGTCACAACACTTGAGTGAAATTTCAATCACATGTGATAAAACCTCTTCATAGTCCGTATTGTGCTTCCCCGCAACTAAAGTTGTTTCGTTCAAGGCAATTCTCCTTCCTCCATCCTCCAGTAATCTACATATAGTTATAGTGTTTTTATCTTCGTCTATCATCGTGATGTTACTGATGAATGATCCTGGTGCTAGGTTTTCGTTCATGTAGTTTGTGTATACTATGATGTCTGTTGGTGCTTCATCGACATCTGAAAATAATCATTTAAATAGAGCGCATATAATTTATGTGTTAAATACTTAAAGCGCTGTACATTGTAAAAAGCTAGAAATGCATCCAGTCGAAAATGGAATGAGAATTGACCACTTGCGTAATAGACTAAATTTTGATCTGGACAAAAATTTCATCACAGCTTGAAAGAGCATCACAAAATTAGTAATATTCCAAAGTTTCGTTGCGAAATGTTGTAAACTGTGGATAATATAGCCTTGCGAAGTTTGCCGTTTTTCAGGCACTTTGGAATATTACTAATTTTGTGATGCTCTTTCAAGCTGTGATGAAATTTTTGTCTAGACTTGTTTAGATCAAAATTTAGTCTGCAAATGGTCAATTAAATATGCTATAACATTATAACTGACATTAAAATATAGACTAGCGAGTATATCTACGAATTACGATAAGAATGATAAAATTGTATGTGGTCTTAGACTATAAAAGGTTAAAAGCCTTACTAAAAAGGAATATCTTCAAACGTTTCTTGAAGACTGAGATGTTATCACAGTTCCTCACATTCAGAGGCAGGGAATTTCACAATTGTCCTGCCGCATATGTAGCAGTCCTTGATCATCCGATCTTAATGTCCAGCGATCACTTGATGATTTTGGGGATGAGCAATTCAGAAATGTATAAATAGGGGCCATGTTGTTAAGAGCTTTGTAAACTAACAAAGCAATTTTGAATTCCAACAATACTTCAGTTACTAGTGGAAAATATTTTATCCTGTAGTAACACTGAACCAGTCCCTATTGGTCTTTTTAGTGGACCTCTAAGGAAAACAATTGCAAACTTATAGAGCTATCTAGTGTAAAGTGAGTTCAGATAATGGCCGTATTTTCTCACCTATAATAGTAATAATAAAAGGCATTTGTAAAGAATGCTCAGTAGTATCCGTGACGATGACTGTAAGGAAATAGTCTGAATTTTCTTCAAAATTTAAAGATCCATTCACAACCAATTTCTCATTGTTCACTCCTTGTAAAGTAAATGGTGGATATTTTGGGTCAACCAAGGAAAATTTCATTGTCTTTGGGCGATGTATGTCAGGATCATAAGCATCAAATGTTCCGACTCTTGTGCCAATCTCTGAATTTTCTCGTACTTTGTTGTTTGAGAGAGTGAGGTTTTGTATTGGTTCATCTGTGTCTGTTGAGAAATGTATGTATATATAATCAAGTTTAAGATTTCACTTCCAATCAGATTTAATCTACCGGATTAACCAATCACATGCGTATTTAGTCAGTAAAAGGTAAAGTGGTAGTCAAATCTAAACCTCACTGGTTAAATTCCACAAGGATAAACGCCTGCCACACAGGTTACAAGGATTGGAATTACTGTAATAGTGTTGGTAGCAGGCTTGTGTCTTTCAGGGTATATACTGGACTATTATATACTGGACTATTATATACTGGACTATTATATATTGGACTATTATATACTGGACTATTATATACTGGACTATTATATACTGGACTATTATATACTGGACTATTATATACTGGACTATTATATACTGGACTATTATATACTGGACTATTATATACTGGACCTCTAGAGGGAGAACAGTTTAGAACTGATAAGTTAGTTTTGATGATTCTGTATAATATAACCGTCCAAATTTACGTCTTGTTGTATGTAGTCCATATCTTGGGTTTTCAAGATGTTTTCATTTTTTTTCAATATCGGCTGGTTCTGGCTTTTGGGTATTAATTTGGTGTAGTTTTGAAGAGCATTCACGTACCTGTTACATTAATAATGAAATCTCGTCTTATCCCCAATGATGGTACACCATTGTCATTACACTGTACTGTCACAAGATAGGATTGATGTTTTTCATAATTTAATGACATGTTCTTCTTAACTTGCAGAGAATTTCTCACATTGTTCACATGGAAATATTCCCCTTCTCCATCGTTGTTGACAACATGGCAAGAGTGGTTCTGAGTGATCTTATTTCTGTTGTCAGGATCAGACACCTGCACAGGAAAATATAGGTAAGAGTTGTTTCAACCATTCAGACTGAGTGCCCAGCACTGGTGCCCAATGTTCAAACTGGTTCCCAAAACATGTTGAGCACAGTGCCGTTGTTGAGTACTACCTCTAGAAGTAGTGCCCTTTCTTGTTTGTGCGAATTTCGTATCCGGAAACATTTGAATGTTAAGCCGGTTTTCCACTTCAAGCGTACCGTACCGAAACATATCAAAAACGTTTTAAATTTCAAAATTTCGTGAATGTTGATTGGTTAGTACTTCCGTAGTACGCCAAAAAGTTGACTTGCGACGAACTTTTTATTTTGATACGCGAATACACCCGGAAGTATGTGGATTTATAAACCTCTTTTCAATCTGCGCATGCTAACCAGTACGTTTCGGTACGATACGATACGCGCGAAGTGGAAAACCGGCTTTAAACTGCTTTCCGAATCTGGATCAATTTGTTCCGGTATATTTTTTTCAAATTTATTGCTATTCAATGGACCATTCCCCAATTAACCAAAATTTTGAACTCAACAAGTCTAGACAAAAATTTCATCACAGCTTGAAAGAGCATCACAAAATTAGTAATATTCCAAAGTTTCGTTGCAAAATGTTGTAAAATGCGGATAATATATAGCTTTGCGAAGTTTGCAATTTTCAGTCATTTTAGATTACGAACGGGAAATGGTTACCACTTCTGTGCGTAATACAAAATGACTGAAAATTAGAAACTTCGCAAGGCTATATTATCCGCATTTTATAACATTTTGCAACGAAACTTTGGAATATTACTAATTTTGTGATGCTCTTTCAAGCTATGATGAAATTTTTGTTTAGGCTAGTTAAGATCAAAATTTTGGAAAAGTGGTAACCATTTCCCGTTTGTAATCTAAAATGACTGAAAATTGCAAATTTCGTAAGGCTATATTATCTGCATTTTACAACATTTCGCAACGAAACTTTGGAATATTACTAATTTTGTGATGCTCTTTCAAGCTGTGATGGAAGGTTGTCTAGCCTTGTTGAGATCAAAATTTTGATTAATTGGGGAATGGTCCATTCAACCGCCAAACAGGGTCAAAACATCGCATCATATCACTAAGAGGGTTAAAATGATTTACTTTATATTGGCCATCGCTGTGTCGGGCACTCTAGTGTAAACGCCTCACGGATCCCGTTTGCTTGAAAAACAAGGGATCCGGATACTTTTACAAATCCGGAAAATTTTGCTCTTGTGGAAACTTGAAAAGAGAAGTCAACACTTCTGCAGGTACTTCCTTGTTGAGATAATACGTAGTGCAAACAAATTCCCGTCACATTTTTTTATACTAATCGGGTATGGTTAAATATATTTTCTACTATACAGTAGTTTAGTAAGTTTATACTCACCATAAAGATAGCAATATCATCCCCACTCTTCATATCTTCCGGTATTTCGTGCAGCCCGTTTATTCCCAGTTTATCTGGTTTTTCATTCACATTTTCCACACTGATGTTCCACTTTGCAAAATTACTACTGACACTATTCCTCACATAAACCTGCAATGTGTACTCCCTAGTCTCTTCATAGTCCAGTTTCCCACTGACCGTTATATTGACATGGCAAGTTGTATTGAACTTAGTGGCGTTTTCGTGATGCTCGCAAACCGTGGGGGGACTAAGTCCGAATTTGAAGGTCGCATTTGGATTCGATTCGCTAATCGTGAAGTCTAAGCTCTCATTGCTTTCTGATTTGGATGTAATTTGAGTGATGACCGTACCAGGTTTTGAATTTTCTGCGATACGTTTGCCTTTTAAGCTTATTGTAGGAGGATCAATAAGGTTGATAACATATATAGGTATTTCTTTCACCGTAGTCAAGCTCTGATCAGTACAGGCTACCTTAATATAGCATAATTTTATAGTATCATAATTCAGTGTTTTCTGGAGAACAACCTTATTGCCAGTGATATTAAAATTCCCTGAATTATCCTCCCGTAATTTCCAAGAAAAATCGGAAGTTCTCTGGTTTCCCAAGTCATTGTCAATGGCGCTCAATTCTCCCACTATTGTATCAATGCTCGCGTTTTCATTTACCCAGTTCCGAGAAATTTCTATACTTCGCGGGGGGTCATTCACATTTTCTACACTAATATTAAAGACTTGTTCTGCCCACATTGGTGGGGAGCCATTGTCTTGAGCTCTCATTCGGACTGGGTACGAGTTTTGCCCATGCGGGTACCACGTGAACACCAGTGAGGTTTCTAATACTGAACCATTACAACGGAACGATGATTTGCCTTCATAATGTTGCACAGAATACACCATCATTTGACCCTTTTGCGCATCCCTAGTGCTTAGTCTCCCGACTATACTCCCTGGCGGTAAGCCTTCGTTTATAGAGCCGCCTACGAGCATTATGGCCAGCGGTGGATCATTGCTGCGCCTGCAGTGATACTCGTTCAGTTGTGTATGCCAGATTGCTGTACCCATTGATGTCTGATGACATATGATCCTACTACTCGCCGTCTGAAATTCAAATCCAGTGTAATCTGGCCAGTTTGTTGTTGGCTTCTTCAATGCTAGTTTGTAGTTCTTTGGACAAGATAAAGTACATTGCGAATTATAGGTTGTCCCGTTTTGACAATATGTTATGATACTTGTACATAATGGGAGGTTTCCTGCAGCATTAGTTGTGTTCTGTGTTTTAGGGCATCTTGAAAATTGTGGTATTTGACAGTCGAGGGGAACACATGCAGTCTTGCCGCTTAGGCGATATCCCTTGTTACAGTTGCATTGATAACCACCCTGAAGGTTTTGACATGTGTGATCACACGGTCCACGTCCTTCATTGCTGTGACACTCATCAATGTCGACACAGTTTTTACCTGTAATATTATTCAAAGAATCCAGGTTCAATTGATAGCTTTCAGTGAGCGTTACAGTGCATGAGCAGAACTTCAGAAATATTGAGTGGGATTGGGGAGGGGGAAGTCAATCATCGAATACACAGACCTGGGACAATGCCCCATTTCCAGGGTCAATGCCCCCTGGATAATGCTTCTATTCTTAGGGTCTGCGGAACGCTATTTCATGCATTTTATAGGCCGGCACATTTTATGATAGCCTGAAAGCCATAGATTTGGTGTGTATCAGATATCTAAGACAGAAGGCAACTTTCTATACAAGAAAGCAACTCTCCAAGGCGAATACTTAATTATCTTGCCTAACACAGCTTTTTCTAAGATGGGCATGTGTTTGATAGAGATCTTCATTTCTCATGTGTTTGATAGGGATCTTCATTTATGAACTTGTTGTCTTTCAAAGCTCTTTCTAAGCAGAGCGTATACAGTCCCTATGGAACTAGTACACTATGAGAAACAACTTACCATCAACTAAAGTGTAACCAAGGGAACACAAGCATTTTTTGTTGACTTGATCACACATTTGATTGCAGCCACCACGAGGATCACAGCGACGTATTTGTATTTGTGGCACGCACTTGTTGTTTTGCCTTACTGTACGTGTTCGCTGACTTTTAGGTTGCGAGTCACAGAACGGTGTACACTCACTCCACGCAGACCACGCTGCAAGTTTTAAGGATTAAAAATTTATTGAACTGCTTCAATGCTGAACATCATTACAGTATACTGTTTTATAATATGCATGTGATGTTACTCTGAGTGTATATCCACACCGGGCAAGCTTGAAAAATATGTCCGGCCACGGTGGGAATCGAACCGACGATCTTTGGAATACTAGCCCAATGGCAATGCTCTGCCAACTGAGCTACGCGGTCAGGTAAAAAAATCATATTACTATAGATTACATTGGTATCGAAGGAACTAGATTCTGTTCCGAAATATCGCTTACTCGAACTATTGACTATTGACTTTATTGACACTTCCCTAAAGGGGCTTTTCAGTGACAAAAATATATATACATATCAATTAATTACTATAATTATACATCAGATCCTAAATTCATATAATAAGATCACGCAATTACTTTATACACAAACACAACATCAAAATCTTGACAACAAGATTAACAACAGCAGCATACAACGTACATCAACGTCATCAACAACGACAGCAAAAACAACAACAACAACAACAACAACAACAACAACAACAACAACAACAACAACAACAACAACAACAACAACAACAACAACATCAACGACAATAACAACGACAACAGAAAAACATGCCCTTAGGCTAACTATCTAGAAATTGCTGAAGCAGTTCCCGTTTCAGTTAACGAAATTTGGGATGCATTTTTCACTGTTCAGTGCTTGAAATATTTGCTAAAATTGACTGGGAATACTTAGAGATTTCATCGTAGAATGGCCTAGTTATATTTATTTGCTCTTTGACTAAAATGTTTAGCTGTATTATTGATAAACATGCCATTTTTGAGAATTTGGTTTGCAACTAGGTTTCAACGCCATCATCCCATTGAAAACATTAGGTCACGTCAGCTAGTATCCTATCCATGTCTTTTATTATCCATGCCTAAACTAAACTAACTTTATGCTGGATACCTCTATGATTTCTAAACTCTTCTTCCTAGAGGTCCAGTAAGGATCATCCCTTATTGATCCAGTGTTATTACAGGAGGAAACCTAAACTAACTTTATATATACTCTAATACAAAAGAAATCACTGTCGTGTCGGTAACACCGCGGAAAAACGTCTGCGCATGCACCAAATTATGAAAATATGGCGGGGAATTTGAATATCAATTTCTAAAACAAAAACATGCTTATTAATTGGTCAAAAATTAGTAAAACAAACGAGAAAATATAGCAAATGGGTAGACTAGACATTAATTGAAAGCGTCCTGGCATTTAAAGTATGGAATAAAATATAATTCATGTAAAAAATTGTTGATTTTAACGGATACGACTTCGAAAATTTTTGCAAAATTATTCAAAACAAAAATTCAAACTCAAAAGTTAAGAAAACTCTCGAAAAGTTAAGCCACTCAAATTGTAGAATAAATCCTAAATCCTTCTTAACCCACTCAAATTGTAGAATAAATCCTAAAGTTTAATTATTGTGAACACGAATTTTTTTTTATATTTGGCGACACAGTTTTTTTTAAAGAAATGTATCTCAAACGAAAATTCGGAAATTGTCGTTGCTTAGTTGATAAACAAAATGTTTCAGACGATAAATTTGTCAACAATCACCTTTAGTTCATTTTCTTGTACAATACAATTTCTTGAACCTTCTGGCTGTATTTATTCCTAGCAGTTTTAGAATGACATGTTTATTTTTGTGCTCGAAATCTGGCTGTAAAGACGCACAATGAAGTCACTCTTTTTTACCGCCATTTTGAGCTTTTGGAAACGTTCGGAACAGCTTCTCATCAAGTTCGTAATACTGATTACAGGTAAGGTTGACGCATGCGCAGACGTTTTTCCGCGGTGTTCGTGTCGGTAGTTTTATATGTGATAAAAAATCAAGTACATCATGTTCATTTGCATAAACTTCAGCTTTGATTTTCTCGGCTTAGACAATGTTTAGTTTTCAAATCACTTCGCCAATGAACTCATCAGATGGGTCGTTTTTCGTAGTCCGTGCTTTATCAGATATAAAACACTCGAGGTGCTCAGCTGCGCTCTCGTGTTTTATATCTGATAAATCACTTCTTCTCGTGTTTTAAATAGTACATAGGTCTGTCAGTTCTAAACTGGTCTCCCTAGAGAACCAGTAAGGATAATCTTTTATCGGACCAGTGTTACTACAGGAGGAAAGCGAAGAAAACTGTGGTGTTTGGCGATAAATCGCATGATAAATCGTTAATGACTTCAAGCATGTTTTCATCGAGTAACTTCGAGTTGGACTTTAACCTTTTGCTGTAAATATACGAAGGTCACAAAATGCATAATTTGCGGGATTGAAGAGATCTTTGAATTACTGCAAAGGACTGGTCCCGTCCTTCGCACATTGACATTAGTAAAAGCGTTTTCACACTTTATAGATATATTATCGGACACATTACAATAATTTTGAGAGTTGACAGTATAAAGGCAAGGTGGTGGCAAGGTGTCGACCGTAAGTTCAGGATCATGAAACCACTGAAATGGACCGAAAACACCACCCAACTTGGCCTGAAACATTTCAAATTTATAACTAATATTCTTATATTAGAACTATTCACTGTTCTTTATTGAAGGAATCTTCCACCAACAAGTAAAATGTTCTGGGGTTAGACTAACTCTGATTGGATAAAAGAATTACAATCCCTTACAATGCGCGTCATAAAAAATCCGCATTCCATGCAAAAGTTTTCTTAAAATTTTTATGACCTTGACTTTGAGGCGCCCGCCCTTTAAATCAGTCGTCACTGACGCATTTAACATAAATTTCGTAGAACAAGAGAAATTTCCTTCGACTTTGCGAAATTTTTACATTTATGTCTTATGACGTCCATTTTATGTTTCGTACATATATGTTACATCTTGAAACTACTGATATAAATAGTTCAAAATATACCCTTATCTATTTCGTTCGCTGTATAATATCTAGTATAGATGCATTAATGCGGCGTTGATGGTAATGTATACTTCTTTTATTTCATTTAACGCGGTGATTATTTAAATGGGTATGAACCTGATCTGTCACACTACAGTGTTTGACATTAAATTTGAGTGGCGCTCGGTAAACATAAAAAGCTTCACGGGAAAATATCATTGTCTTCTATATATACACTGTTTAAAAGATTAAAAGACTAAAATGAACCATTATGATATTACAAGATTCAATATGTAGACAAAACGACTTGTAGAATGTAGATTAGTTGAGAAAAATATATTTATATTAAATATTTCACATATTGTTTTATGTAAACATGACATATAAGTTCGCTGAAATATCGGCAAGCTTTAAAATTAAAACTCGCGGTAAAGCTGTATATTTTCGGCTAGTACGCTTGTAGGCTTTTTTCCCAAGTATACTTGGAGAAATAAAATCACCTTTGTCTTGCTTTTAATAGAGCTTTCGGCCAGTATGCCAATGCGTTTGATCTAAACATCCGAGTTGTCTGTTGTTATTGCAATTTAGACTTTAAACCCAACATAGCCTAATTTACGGTAAATTTTTATCAAAAATCCCTAATTATCAAGGCAATTTTCCCGCATAAACAGCCTGGCTATATATTTCATTTATGAAGAGTTTTCAAGAAGGGTTTAGCTAAAAATTTCTGTATTTTTAGGGTCAAGAGATAGTAATATAATACGTACCAGAAGAACCGCAGTTTCTTACTGGACTTGGTTTTGGCGTTGGGCTTCTTCTTCTCCTCCGAGACCAGAAAAAAGCACTTCCTTGGTAGACTTGAAGTAATGTTAGAAGAAGCACAAACGTCAATACAGAAAGGTGAGTTTTAAGAGACATTTTGCTAACTGTAGATCGCCTTTCTGCGTTGAGAAAATGAATTTGAAACCATACGGAAGTAGAATAAAGTCATGAGAACCAAAATGAAACTTGAAACTGTTATTGTTATGGGAAACTATTTTTATTTATTTTTTCCCTTATATACAAAATTACATAACCAAACGATAATGTTTACAAATGATAGGGCTAGAAACATATACTAGAAACCTTAACAGGCTTTTGATTCAAGCCTGTATGTATAACTATATATAGATTATAACATACTCTAAATCGATTAGCATCTTCTTGGAAGCTCAAACGGAAGACACAAAATTCAAGGTTGTTTTCAGTAACTCGTATCTCAAGTATTCAAGATCATACTATATTTGAACTATTTCATAATATATTTCATGAAATTGTGTGCTGGTAAAGGGTATATACTGTATAACTTGATGTAGAAGAAAGGTTTCAACCTTGCCTGTACTAGCTGTGCGAAAAACTTAACTTTTGGCACTTCGACAGAAATCGAACATACGCCATGCAGACGATTTTACTCAGGGACGCCGGAACGATCGTAAGGCAAAGGGGGGCTGACCCACACCAAGGGCACCTCTCTAAAGCAAAACTTCAAAATCTTCCGCAATTTTTTTTTTAACTCGAAAAATTACGTTCGGTCAGTGTACCATTTTAGGGGTCAAAAATTTTTTCCGGACATACCAAAAGTCAAATATTAACTATAAATTGTCTGAATCTCATGATTTTCGTACAAAAAGCATCGTTGTAAATGTGATTTATCACGTATTTTTTTATCACTAAAAGGGCACTTCTGCCCCCCTGCCCCCCCCTAGCAAAAGGCAAGGGGGGCAGCCGCCCCCCCCCCCTGCCCCCCAGTTCCGGCGTCCCTGATTTTACTTGTTACAGTTGGTGTTCAATGGGTTATATAAGAAGACTATCTGCCCATGTGTCTAGTAAAACCATTAAGTATTGCGTTCTTTAGAGACTTACTTAATTATTTTACTCTATCGGCTAACGGCAGACGAATTTACTCGTCAAAGGGATATCACTAGCATTCAGTGGGTTAATAAAACATATGATGAAAATGTGGGATAGTGTAAACTTCAAACTCATTAATAATTCATGAGTAAATTAGCCAACCATATTACTTTATTTGCTCACATGATAATACTGGATACCTGGTGAAGTATATTGATCCAGTCCTGGGACTGGATCGAAATTAATTCAGTCCTTAGACTGGATTAAAATTAATTCACCAGGGGCCGGTTGTTCAAAGGTCGATTAGTGCTAATCTAGGTTTAAAATTTAACCCACTGTTTTAGTTTGCATATTTCTGCATAGCCCGCGTGCAGGCCCAAGGGAACTGATACTATCAGTTCCCTTGGGCCTGCACGCGGGCTAATTTGTGCATGTCCATTTATTTCAAAATATCAGAAAAGAAAACTTCTATTGATCCAGACATGATTTGTGAAGAAATATTTCCAAATTTAAAAACAAACTGTTAGGAAGTTTGCTTTGAATTTTAAGTTAACCTAGGGTTAAGCTAATCGACTTTTGAACAACCAGCCCCTGACTTTAACTAGTGATTTATTCGTATGAGATGTCATTTCACTAATCCTCCAATTCGGACTGGATTAGGCGCGGACTTGAAAATCTAGTCCAGTCCTCATAGTCGGATTTGAAATATTACATCTCAAACTCATTAATAATTCATGAGTAAATTAGCCAACCATATTGCCTTATTTTGCTCACATGATAATACTGTATACGGGATCAAAATTAATTCAGTCCTTGGACTGGATCAAAACTAATTCTCCAATCCGGACCATTTCAAATCCTCCAATTCGGAATGTTGACCCAGTCCTCGGCTTCGCCTCGGACCAGTTCTCCAAGTCGGATTTGAAATATTGCATCCAAGACAACAAGGGAGTCTAGTGTAGTACTCCGCAATAAGTCGTGGATTGTATCTGAACAACCGGAAAAAGATAAACGACGCCCTTCGATGCACTTAGGAGGTTAAGAAGCATATTATCCGCACGCCCCCACGTGTGGAATACTTTGTAAATCCGGTAGTGAAGAGTCGCTTGCGAGGAAGGATTACCTCATTACCTTAAAGCCCTGTCACTCTATTGCGTATGAGAGAAACGTATGAGAAGCGTATGAAAATTAATGAAATAATTTTCATACGCACAAAAATCCTTTGAAATGCCAGCGTATGAGTACCGTACATTTGGGGTACCTCTAGCGTATTGAGCGTATGCCAAGAATATGCTCATCATATATCCATACGTCCGCATACGCACAAAATTTTTGAGCATGCTTAAAAAAATTTTCTCCCTCGCCGTATGCCAGCGTATGTCACCGTATGCGACCGTGCTTGAAACGTATACAACCTATGCCTACCGTACCCTTAGCGCATGTCAGCGTACACCGGCGTATGAGTGATATTTTTCATACGCTGGCATACGTACGCTAGTACGATACGCAATAGTGTGACAGAGCCTTTATCATTATTCCGCTTTGTGGAAAACAGCCCGCTTCGGCATTGCTCCTTATTTGTTCCTTTCAAATTACAATTATATATACACAAAGAAATTATTCATATTTGTTAGCATTATTATTATTAGTAAATATACTTTGTGTTCTGACACTCAATTGTTTTCTAATTTTTGAGAAGATTTGAAGGGGAGCTGGCTCCCTGAAATAACTACAGGGCTATATTGGTGTAAACCCATGAAATTTATTTTCAAATTTATTCTAGCTTGCATATGGCAGCCGATTTCTTGAGGGACTTGCGGGCTGGGAAATTAAGGCGGGAGACCTTAATTTTCCCGCCCGCGAATAGGTCCATTCCCATGCCAAATTATTAATTCATGAATTGTGTGCAAAACAATTACTTGATATACAAATAAGACACATATTTTACATTTGAATTTGAGTTGGCAAACTACATCTAGATTCCACTAGAATCTTCAGTTCGTTCATAACTTGAAGATCACTTTGGTGAAAAACGTAGCCTTGCCTTGTACAGCGAACTGATGAGGGTTGCTCGATCCAATCCGCATTTACCCACAGGAAATTTAGGCAGGTTTATGCCGACAATACAATACTGAACAATTTCCATATCACAAACAGCTGAGTGCGTGGGTGTGCAAGTCATTAAAACGCAACAATAACACGGCAGCCTATAAACAACTCTAACAATAAAAGTCAAGAAGCGTAACACCACTACCCCACATATCTGCTGTCTTAACGTGATTCAACAGTTTTTGTAAACTATCTACACATTCGTATTTATCCTCGTTGAAAACCTCCGTATAGCAAGTAGTGTGAAATTGGTTGTCTTATCGTTTGGTTATGTTTCCCAGGTCGTGGCTCCTCGTTGTTGTCTTGGTGCTGTTACTTTCGAGTTTGGTTTCCCCGTGGAGGCGTCGCCGACGACGACGCGCACCGCCACCGCCACCAGTAAATTGCCAAGTCTCTAGTAAGTTTCCCATTCGTTTATTCTCGTTAGGAAAGCATGTACAGGTAGATTTCACTGAGTAGTATCGCACTTATTGATTTGATGATTGATCAGAAGTTGGTAATTTAGTTATCTTCCGTGGTAATATAATGTAATTTGCTTGTTCCTGTGTGAGTTCAGAGCAGCATTTCCTGCCACGACTAAGCCCGGATCAAATGAGGTTGAGAGAGCAACAGAGAGTTGGGAGACTCGATCTTGGTTAGCTAATCCTAACACTATCAAGTTAAAACGTTGAAACAGTCATCAAACATTTTGTAACTGATCTATATAGAGCTTGAAATGCCCACCATAACAATTCGTAACAAACAACTCTCGTCAATTCTCATTCTCCGCTTGATCAGGACTTACCACTGATTGAAATCTACTAATAGTAGCTACAGCTTTTACTAAACATAACTTATCGCACCGAGCAGATGCATGATGACTAACCCACAACACAGTAGGTTATCAGGGTTATACAGCAATCGGTTAATATATGTAGTCTCGTGTAGTTGGGAGTTCAAATCCCGCTGGAGTCGATGTTTACAGTTCACTTCGGCAGTAAGAAATTATATGTTGAAAGCCGAAATTTTCTTTTCGTTTAGTACATAAATAATACATAATGTATATACTACATAAAACGGATCGATGTGTAGAGTATAATCATATAAGTGTTGAAACGCTTATAGTGAAAGTCATCATTTCTCACATATGCATGCGAAGCAATTGTTGTCTAAACGGAATTCGTCATTTTATTTTCGGGATTCCCGTCCGCTTCTCTGCCCGGCGCCGCAATCGACGTAGGAATGATGGCAAGTAAGGGCAAGTTAATCCAACAAAATCCCATTATTTGCACTACGAAAATTAACCAGGAATTGCCCCTTGCTGTAAATACGACTATATAGCCCGCGGGTTCAGACCGGGTTCGGTTTGGACTCAGACTATAGGGTTGAAATAAACCCTGCGACAGTTTTCGTTATGTACTGAAATTTTACATCCTGTCACTGCTGAGAGAACTAACGAAACGTTTGCTATGGTTTCTGCAGAATCTGAATTCCTACTTGCGAGATTTAATTAGTCCTCGATTTTACAAGCAACACTAATTGTGATATCCATCAATGGACCATTTGCATTATAGACTAAATTTTGATCTAGACAAGTCTAGACAAAAATTTCATCACAGCCTGAAAGAGCATCACAAAATTAGTAATATTCCAAAGTTTCGTTGCGAAATGTTGTAAAATGCGGATAATATAGCCTTGCGAAGTTTGCCGTTTTTTAGTCATTTTGCATTACGCATGGGAAATTGACAGCCCAATCGGGTGTTGGGGCATCAATTTCCCGTTTGTAATACAAAATGACTGAAAATTGCGAATTTCGCAAGGCTATATTATCCGCATTTTACAACATTTTGCAACGAAACTTTGATTACTAATTTTGTGATGCTCTTTCAAGCTGTGATGAAATTTTTGTCTAGATCAAAATTTAGTCTATAATGCAAATGGTCCATTCAATCAAAATTCCTGCATGTGCTATCCAGTCTTATTAGCCACAATTTTTTGACTGATAATGCAAGTTGCTCTTTTGTATTCTGATACCGCTAAAAATGAAACTATACTGTTTCGAACAAGGAATTTTACTGTTTCGATATTCTTTTCACGGCTCTATCTTATATGCTATCGACTCAAAAAGGGTATTTCTTGTTTAATCAATTTTAATAGCCACGACGTATTTATTTTGTTAATTGTTTTAGTCTTTAGAAGACGTGCTGTGATAAAAAATGATTATGTAAAGCATGACACCATCTCTCACGAAGTACTATGAAACCGGTTGGATAATATCAGAGAACATTCTAATACTTTTCACACACACATTATATATGTTGCTATATTTTCTCTGAGAAAATACCAGGAGCTCCAAAATTGGAATTAAATACTCCAGCTATTCAGTTTTGATCAAGCGCAGCCAAATTTCAGAAATTCCTTCTAGATTTCTTCGTACAGTTCATGTATTTTGAAATACTTTTAGTATTTCCCTATGGTGGAAGTTTCGGGATTTCCATTGATTTGATCTTCTGATCATACCGGCTTTCTCTTATACTATATGCATGGTCTACTGCCAAGGAATGTAACAGTCATTGATAATAATTGCTAAACAAAATGACGCTAACAAAATAACACAACCATTTGCTATTTGAGTGGCAAATTGCCGGTGAAGGTACGTTTATACACAGCGATTAATCTGACCGATTTCAGGTTTTACCGACGATGCCACAGATGACGATGTCGTGAGATGACGTTGACAGCGTATTTTTCAAATATCATTTAATTAAAGCTGAATCGGCCCGATTAATCGTTGTGTGTAAACCAGTAAACGTATCTTGATCCGGCAAAAGCTATCTGCTTGGGAAGCATATAAGAAGAATGTCCGTTTGTCCCCGCGTTAATCAGCGTGACTGCACCAAACCCTGCAGTTTTTCCGAGTTTCCACGGTTTCTTCCTGTAGTAATACTTGTCAACACAAGATGTCCCTATAAGGCCAATACCGGACTTCTAGCTGGGAGAACATACTTCCAGCACAAATAAAACTTTGTTAGTTTACATTCAAAGAATCTTTGAGTCTTTAATCGCATGTCATGTTGTCGTTAGTTACGTGTCGTACATGTTTAATAGGGCATATAGAATTGTTCCGCGTTGTTTCTCTTTATTAGAGACCTTAAGATTGACGTTTACGGCAAACGTCAAACCGCTAGCGAGGTTTATGATTTCACAACTCTATTATAATAGCTTTTACACCAGTTTTGAAATATGTTAAACTTATTAAACTTGTGCTCTTTAGCAATGATTTAAGAAAGCAAATTAACCACTAGTCATGCCATTCACCAAAGCAGTAAATTAAAATTTGGCGTTTGAAGTTGACGTTTGGCGTATAAATTCCATGCTTGAACTGCTACGAGGGCTTGTAGTCGTTAAAGCATGAAATGCATGTATACGCCAAACGTCAACTTCAAACGCCAAATCTTAATTTACTGCTTTGGTGAATGGCATGATTTGCGGTTAATTTGCTTTCTTAAATCATTGCTAAAGAGCACAAGTTTAATAAGTCTAACATATTTCAAAACTGGTGTAAAAGCTATTATAATAGAGTTGTAAAATCAAAAACTTCGCTAGCGGTTTGACGTTTGCCGTAAACGTCAATCTTAAGGTCTCTATTCTACGTTTCGTTCTCATCGAACGACGTTAATGAGAGGTTGACATAACGGTTCGGAACATCCCTTACGATATTGCCAAGTTAATGTAAATTGCCAAGTTAATGTAAATTGCCAAGTTAATGTAAATTGCCAAAACCAACTTCGTGGCCCTCTCTACTCGAGGCTCAATATTGTGAACAACTACGAAACAACTTTCGGTAATTTACCATGACACAAGCCCAACATTGAATTGGGGAAGTGCCCTGGAATTTTAAGAAGCGGAATTTATCGTAAGGTGCGTGTGAATTTTGTATATCAGCAATTGTATGCCTGTATTCTATAAGCTCACTCACACTCAAAGAATGGATGTTCAATCTGAGCTTCTCTTGAGTGTCAGTGCTGTTTTTGAATAGCTGGAGGGTTAGTGTCGTACCTTACTATGTGACTACTCACCATCCAGCTATTCAAAAACAGCATTGACACTCAAGGGAAGCTCAGATTGAACCTCCACTCTTTGAGTGTGAGTGTGAGTGAGCTTTTAGAATACAGACCGTAGTCTCAACCTGTTATGTCCAAGATCGTATCAAGCGAGTCTGCATGAGAGTTTTATCGAAATGAAATCTATTTCCACCATAGGTTGGTCTTCATGGAGTGCCTGTAGCAAAAAATGTGAAATTGGCTTACGTACTCGAACTCGTCATATCACCATCCATCCTGCGTATGGTGGAGCAAGCTGTCCTACTGCCTTGGTTGGCGTGGATGGTTGTGGTCAGGTGAAGGGGGGTTGTGGTGATACGTGTATCGAAAGCGACGGCAGGTGTGTTTGTACTAGCAATCCAGGATATGAACTCCAAGGTAATGACGATATATCGACATACTGTTTCCTTGTAGAATCTTAAACTGTGCACTGGTATTGTAAGTTTGCAAGTCACCTAAACATGTACTGAATAAGTTGATGTTCTGAAGAAGTTGAGTGTGTTGGTGACTGAGTGCATGCTTAGGTTGCGTTCAGACCGAGGCCCGGCACTGGTGCCCAATGTTCAAACTGGTTCCCAAAACATGTTGAGCACAGTGCCGTTGTTGCTTAATAACTCTAGAAGTATAGTGCCTTTCTTGGGCAGTGTGCCCAATTTTATTTGGAAGCGTCGTGTTCAAACTAGGCGCCAAAAGCAAGTGACGGGCACCAGTGCCAGGCACCCAGTCTGAACGCAGCCTTAGTTCAAGAACCATTCCTCGATGATTTGGATCAGTAAAGGGTCACTTTAAAGTTAGTTAAGTGTAGGGAGAACAGTTTAGAACTGACAGAACTATAGTATCCGGTATACTAATAAAGTTAAATTTAGGTTGACAAGATCAATAAGAGATTCCTCTGACTGGAGCTCTAGGAAGAACAGTTTATAACATATAGAGCTGTCCAATATGAATGCAATTAGCTTAGAGGCATTTCTTAAATCTTGCTCATTGAATTTCTTCCCAGGCAACAAGAAATCGTGCGCGGACAAAAACGAGTGTCTGGATGGTTCAGCAGCATGTATCAACTCAAACTGCAGGAACACAGACGGTAGTTATGTGTGTGATTGTCTCCCTGGCTATCAACCTTCATCCAACCGTCTTCAATGTGTACCGAAATCATGCACACCGCTGACCGCTCCACAATGTCCCGCTGACGCATACCGTGATGAATTTGGAACAACCTGCACGCCTGCAACAATCAACTGCCCTAACGGATATCAATATCAAGATTCTTGTACTCTGACGTGCACGGACAGCTATAAACTTGCAGTGATTGCTCAACCAAATTTCAGACAAAAATTTGCTGAGAATTTTACCACAGTTGATTTTGATAGCCCTAGTGATAGAACTGTGTGTACAGTAGACCCAAATTCAGGGTCTGTTTCGTGGGATTGGAATCCAGGGACTACCCCTTACTATTGCAGAAGAGTTAATGACCCACCTTTGGGTGTTACCATATCAAAAACTGTCATTAATGAAAAAGAATCAGTCTTAACACCAGTTGGTAAATTATCTGCGACAGACCCTCAAAAAGATCATCTAACATTCAGTATTTCAAACCCGAAAGGGAACTTGCATTTTCTTATCCAAGGCAACATGTTGTTAGTAAAAACTCCGTTAGTATGGACTCCTAATTTGGGTGATAATACTTATTCGGTGGTTGTGAATGTCTCCGATAACGGGTCACCAATGATGCATTCTGCAGCTACTCTTAATATCACGGTGTTAAACATCAACGATCCACCCTATGGATTAGAACTTTCAAATAACGAAATTTCTGAGAATGTCCCCGTGAACTACACCGTAGGAAATCTAACAGCAATAGACGATGATGTAAGTCCACAAAGGACTTCAAATTTCTCCTGGGAGATAGTCGACAGTGATGACGGATTTTTCTCCCTTCGTGGAAGCGAAATACTTGTTGCAAAGAGCTTAGATCACGAGTCCAAGAATATTCATAGAATTCAAGTAAGATGTACTGATTATGGAAATCCTAGAAAGTCCTCCCAGGTTGTTAGTATGTCTATAAGTGTGCGTGATAGCAACGATTCTCCGAAACATATCAACCTAACCAATCATCGCGTGTCTGAGAATTCCCCAGTGGGAACACTTGTTGGTAAGATAATCGCGAGAGATGATGATAATGATACATTGTCGTTTGATTTGAATGGAACTGACAGTAGAGTTCTCAGAAAATTTGCATTACAAGGTGAGTATAGCTAGCTAAATCCTTCCATTATCTAAATGGCTAATCAGGTGGTTGGTGTTAATCTTTGCATTCTGCAGCGCTTAGCGGGTAGGGATCGGCAAGTTCCCTAAATGGGACATCTTAAGTTAGCAGAAGATGAATCTCTTGCAAATGACAAACTTAACTCTACTTACATTAGTTTTAAAGTACATGAAGTCATTTAGTGTTTTAGCTATACTGGAAAACTGATACTTGTTCATCAGTAAAAAAGGAGAGACTTAACTCTCTTTACATGAGTTTTGAGGTAGTTTTTGAAGTACATCAAGTCACTTTATAAGGTACAGTTTAAGCTTCACGTTTGAGGGAAATCAGATTTTCGTGGCATAATTTACATTTTCCTTCATTTCTTCACATTTTCATTCTTATGTTAAAAGAATAATTTTGCATTTCTGCGCAAAATGATTCTTTTTGGAAGCAGTCCAGTCTATTATTATTGCCCTACCATAAAAAATCTGACTTTGCCGGCCTGGCTTTTGACGTATCAAATATCATGTACTGGTACTCATTTGTTAGCCATAGACTAGCGCCATGGGTTAACTGAATGTGATTTACACTGGTTTAAGAGTTAACACGCTTTTTATCGTTGATTTGGAACTAGTTTAATATGTTCTGTTTCCATCAGGTTCTCAGGCAAATTGTGGTCTGCGTCTTCAAGATGGGAAATCCATGCAAACCTGTTCCGTGCCTCTCGTAGTAAATGGATCTCTTGATTATGAAGTGGAAAACGAATACATTATTTGGGTTGGTGTGACAGATCCGGGGGGAGTAACACACAAAAGATTTAGAATTGAAGTGGAGAATGTCAATGAAGAATCCACTGATATTTTGATATCTGATGACAGAGTGCCTGAGAACTCACCCGGTGGTACTGTGGTTGGTGAATTTCTGGTATGTATGCTCTAATATATCAAACAGGTTTACACTGTCACACACCGTTTGGCAAACCATACCTAGCATTCTGTGTTCCCTAGCATATTAACGCTTGTATTCTAAAAGCTCACTCACACTCAGGTTCAATCTAAGCTTTCCTTGATTGTAAATGCTGTTTTTGAATAGCTGAAGGGTCAGTAGTAGGTACGGGAGTCTATTTTGAGATTACGAAGTGTTCTTCATATCTGTTAATACAATTTGAAGATCGAAAGCTTTGCAGTAATAAATTTACGTGGTGTTTCCACAAACAAAACCTATTATTATTTTAATTTGAAGATTGTTTTGTTTCCTCAGCAATTTTGCAACCAATAAAATTGAGGAACATTTGAAAAAGGCAAAGTCAGGATCCGAGGAACATTGACCATTTTTCCAGGTCTGGTAGCATGAAGTGGGGTTAGGGTTGTAAGCCTCTAATATAACAATAAAATTAGCATGAGCAATGACATTACATCCTCCATTTCAGGTGAAAGATCCAGACAACAAGAATCGTGTCACTCAAAGTCACACGTGTTCCCTGCTCAACTCCCTCAATGGCGATGAAGATGCTTTCTATATTTCACAAATAAATCAACGGAATCTTCTTCGTGTTAAAGCAAATGCGTTTCTTGATTTTGAAACAAAGACAATATATAATATTACCGTATCTTGTAGTGATACAGATCTTGCGATTTCCAAATCATTCTTGATTGAAATTACAGGTAAATCCAACTAAGAGGTCGTCCATAATTGGCAAATTATTGTTATTAAAGTGCGACTAACCACAAATATGATTTTGGTATGTGTAATATTTGGGTCATTCTAAGAAGAAATGTAATATATCTTTATAATATAAAAAATCCCTCTCTTGATCAACTTTTTCACTGTCAAAGTTTCCGAATATGATGTCATTAGGTGAATTGAAAATTAGTTTTCCTTTTTTTTTGTACCAAAAATTCACCTAATGACCTCATATCTGGAAACTTTGACAGCTAAAAAGTTGATCAAGATGAGGTTTTTTACTGTAAAGATATATTTCATTTCTTCTTAGAATGACCCAAATATTACACATACCAAAAATTATATTTGGGGTTAATTGCACTTTAAATAAACTTTTCAAACTTTTCTCTTCAGACGTAAACGAGCGACCTACGTCTCTTGTCTTATCAAGCACAAGTGTTAACGAAAGTGATTCAAACATGACCCACATCGGTACGTTATCTGCAGAAGACCCTGAAGGAATAAACCAAACATTTATCTACACTGTGAGGGACTCGCAATCATTCCGTATTGGTGGAACCAACAAAGATCAACTCTTTTTTCTTGGACCACTTGATTATGAACATACGCAAAGTATTAGTGTTCGTCTTCGAGTCACTGATAACGGTGGACTACACTTGGAAAAGATATTTACGATTACTGTTCAAGGTTTGTTTAAAATTCAAATATATACCAAACTGTAGCTTGGGTTATGGTTCAGTTCTAAACTTATCTGCTTAAAATGGCCCGTCCTTATTCGTCCAGTGTTACTACAGGAGGAAACCTAAACAAAACCAATGGGTAGCTCTTGACTATCAGTTCTTGACTTCTTTTAGACTTGAATGACCCACCAACTGACATCAGACTTCAAGCAGATGCAAAACTTCCTGAGAATAGTGGTGAAAATGTCTTCATCAGTCAGGTTGAAATGATTGACCAGGATAGCAATACAAGAGCTTCGTGTAGACTTCTGAACAGCAGTAATGATCGTGTCAGTTTGAGTTCAAATGCTCTCGTGGTTGGACCAACGATTACTGACTATGAAAGTCTCGGTTCATCCAAGTCTTTGCAGATTTTAGTGAGATGTGAGGATCAATATGGAGCTTCTGTTACCCGGTGGATAAATCTGCCTGTTGAAGGTAATTTTGGAATACTATAACAGCGTTTCAAAATAGTGGTCAGGGACCGGTTGTTCAAAGGTGGATTAGTGCTAACCCAGGGTTAAAATTTAACCCACTGTTTTAGTTTGCATATTTCTGATGTCCATTTATTTCAAAATATCAGAAAAGAAAACTTCTATTAATCCAGACATGATTTGTGAAGAAATATTTCCAAATTTATAAACAAACTGTGAGGAAGTTTGCTTTGAATTTTAAGTTAACCTAGGGTTACGATAATCGGGTTTTGAACAACCCGCCCCCAGAAGTCCAATATTATTTATTTGCCTTCAAATACAAGACTACTTTATAAAATACAAAGAATTAACATTATTATATATTTAGTATGTATTCTTGTTCCTGATTGGGTCATAAAGCACCGGATAATTCTCAATATTCGGTACTTATTACGTAATTTCAGCTCCTGCCGTGCTCAGCGTCGAATAATTGTTTTTTTTTTGCATCGAACTTGCATCCAAAAAAGATTATTGGATGCTGTCGTGCCCAAGCCCCGGCGCGGCCAACAACTCAAACCAAAAAGCGCGCGAAAATAAAATAAACAAAATGGCTCACAGATTGGCTCACAGTAGATTTGCTTCGTTGGATGAAAACGACCTGTCAAAATTATTAGCAGATAAAGACAGTGACAGTAGTAAGGAAGCCACAAAAGAAACTATCAAAAGAAATGTTTTTTTCTACTTTTTTGCATTATTGTTGTATAAATATACTTGAAACATTAATAGACTTCGTTTAATAGTTTTATAGTTTTATACGTTTTTTTTCTGTGTTGGTGTTGTGTACTCAGGTGAATAATATGATGTTTGTGATGTTACTCTGAGTGTATATCCACACCGGGCGAGCTTGAAAAATATGCCCGGCCACGGTGGGAATCCTACGAACGTAGCGAACCTACGACCTTTGGAATACTAGCCCAATGCTCTGCCAACTGAGCTACGCGGTCAGGACGGTTCGAGTAAGTGATATTTCGGAACAGAATCTACTTCCTTCGATACCAATGATGTCGTTAAGGCCCCGATTACACTATACCGGATTGCATCGAAGCGACGCGATTTCTGTACCGGATTGGCCTCTTGTTTACACTACGCCACTGTAATCCGGTACGTGCCGCGGCGCGAAAATCACTTCGCTTTGGAGGTGATATGAAAAGTAATCCGGTACGTGCTGTACCGGATAAAACCAAGTGTAATCAGGCAATCCGGTACGCTCCGGTACTATAAATAGGTTTCGGCAAGTATATTTTAACATTGTCGTTTTATTTACTCGCTTTTAAATATTTTATAGCTGTTGTTTGCTTCCCTTTACAATTATTTATTATTTCTAGCGAAGACAAATAAAGATAGCGGTAATAACATTGACTTCTTGCTTTCAAAAGGGCAAAATTTAATGAAATACTCGTCAATTTTCGATAAGAGCGAGACAAAGCAACGTCAGGTGGTCAAGCTTTGTAAACAAAGTTATAATTCACAAGTACTGTCGAGAAAACGTCCAAAATGGTCAAAACTTATTATTTGTTTTCATGGCAACGATAAAAGATACGAGCTGGCGACAGAGCGAAGCGACATAGTGTAAACACCCTTGATTTTGGCTTCGGTGTGAAAATTGATCCGGTATGAAAATCAATCCGGTATAGTGTAATCCCAGCCTAAATGTATAATAAAACAATTATTGGATTCGGAAACCTGATGTCTTTAAATGTATAATAAAACAATTATTGGATTCGGAAACTACGGAAGACTTAATGTACTAACGACCCTTCCTCTCTGTTTTAAGATGTGAACGAAGCTCCAACGGACCTCACTTTGAGCAAGTTAGAAATCCGTGAAAACAGGAACGATACGCTGGTGGGAATTCTAGAAATTACTGATCCAGATGTTGGTCAACGACATAAATGTACCATACTCGATGTTGACACGCCATTCTACATTGACAGTTCAACAAACCCACCAACACTTAAGACTGTTCGTCCGTTAGATTTTGAATCTTCGAGAGTGGAATATGTGGATATTAAATGTGAAGATATTGTCCTGGATCAAGCTGGACATTCTACAGAAAAACAGTTCAAAATTAATGTTATAGGTATGGTAGTTAAACTAACTTTACTTATACTGATATAGTTCCATCACATTCAAGTACATATGCAGATTATGCATTATCAAACAATGTTTAACTCTGCAGGGAAAGACAGTTCACCATAAAACATCATTTTTCTTCATTCTCTTTCAGATGTAAATGAAGCACCACATATATTGTGCAATACTCCATTCCATGCGTTGCCTTCGTTCTCGCGTGGTTCAGTCCTTGGTCAAATCCAGAATTATGATCCTGACAATGAACGCTATCATATGTCCAAGAAACAAAACCCTAACGGACCTTTTGAAATACGGAAACAGCTCTTGAATTATCGCTTTGAGAACGAGAATATCTCCTGGCCATTTGATATCACACAAAATGGAATCATATATCTTGAAAAGGTAGTTTTCATTTTGGGTTTGATATTACGCTGCTTTATTTTATATCCTATTTTTCTTTACTTTATTTTACCTTGCGATATCTTTCCATCTCTTCACTTTTCTTATACATTTCACTATACCATACAATTCCATACTACCCCATCCCACACTATAGCCTACCATTCCATACTATACCTTACCTTATTATATTATACCATACCATACCATACCATACCATACTTCACATTCCATTGCCCATACCAATGATACCATATTGTACCAATCTGAACCAAACTTTCCATTATGTCATACTATACTATACCATACCATACCACTCTTCACCATACCATTCCATTGCCCATACCATATTATGCCATTCTAAACCAAACTATCCATATTATGTCATAACGTACCATACTTTACCATTCCATACCATAACATACCACTCTTCACCATTCCATTGCCTATACCATATTATACCATTCTAAACCAAACTATCCATATTATAGCATTTATATATATATATATATTATACCATTCATACCATACCATACCATACACAATATTTACCTTTCGTAAGTGACAGTAATTGACACTTATTAATAATTCTGCTCTATTTTCGTGAAGCGACTGACTGCTGAAGAATACAACGGATCAATAATATTTGGGATTCGTGTTGAAGACGATGGTGCTGTTTGGGAACGAAGTAACGGGTCTGAGGAATATCGAATCAAAATAGATGAAATTGAACATTCTGTACAAAATTGCACTGTCCTTATTGCGTGTAAGTGTTGTGTTACTATTTTTTGGTATGTGAGACCAGATATTTCTAGAAATTGCTTTTTACAGAATTTATTCCAGGAACTACCATGTTGTTTTTTTCAGCAAATGAAACACAGCATGATATTCATCTTAGTTCAAACACAATCCCGGAGAATTCCACGTATGGCACAATAATTGGCAATCTTTCTCGCAGACGACTCCTGGAACACGAACAGATCAGCTATCACATCCTTGAAGAAGAGAATGGAACACAGCCATTTGAAATTGATCAGAATATCTTGAAACTAAAGCTTGACAATACTTTGGATTATGAAGTGCTTCCTGCAGAAAAGACTTTTCCTATCACCATCAGTAGTGTGGCTTCAATATCTGGAGTTTTTACAAAACAATTCGTGATTGAGATTTTAGGTAAGATATACACTTACGCCTGTATTCTAAATGCTCACTCACACTCGGTGAGTGGAGATTCAATCTGAGCTTCTCTTGAGTGTCAATGCTGTTTTTGAATAGCTGGAGGGTGAGTAGTCACATAGTAAGGTACGACACTAACCCTCCAGCTATTCAAAAACAGCAATGACACTCGAGAGAAGTTCAGATTGAACTTCCACTCGTTGAGTGTGAGTGAGCTTTTAGAATACAGGCGTTAATAGTGGTCTTATTTCTCTTCATTTCTGCACCTTAATCCTTCTAAGAAGCAAGCACTTGTATTTACCAGGACTATGATAAATATTAATTGAACTATAATATTTCTTCCCCACAGATGTGAATGAAATGCCTACAGCAATCTGCCTGACGAGCCCGCGACCCCTTGATGACTGTTCAGTGGTTGGTCATATTTTGATAGAAGACTTGGACTATCCCGAGCTGCAATGCGGGATTAGTGAGACAAATGACTTGAAGAATTATTCAAGCCAACTATCAGAATACACATGTCATATCCAGGAAGGCGTGGATACTTTAAGTAATAAAGTTATAGTGGATGAACATTTCTATATTCAACACTCACCCCCAACATTATATGTGAACAAGACTATATTCACTCATGGAGATACATCCTATGATGTCCCTATTGTATGCCGAAGTACCAAACAACCCCTGCATATCCTCTCTACGATGCTAAATGTGAATATCAAAGGTAAGCTGTGATGTATATCACTATAGTCATAGAAAATTGAAACGCTACTTGGAAATACTCCACACAGATTATCGGTGTGATAGCTCTTAGTAAATAAAATTTGTGTTTTGTTCCTGAAATAGTCTTAAATTTTAGTTGTTTAGTCTTGTTCGACATTCTTTCGTTTTGAAATATGCTTTTTAGGATGCAAGCTAAATTCTCTTGTTTATTTCAGTTCCTGATGACGCAAACTGTCGCCGTGGTGATCTCTGTGCTTCATGTCCTCAACCTTCATATTGTCTTACTCATGTTAAGGCTGCTGGCAAGTAAGGAGTTTTTTATCAATCATGTTTACAGTTTGGTACATCGTGTATGTATATTACACTATTACTGATATCATGACATTTTCCACTAGGTGTGTAGGAGAAGATTATCGTATCAATTCAATAGTTGCCATCCCTGTTTCCATCTTTGAAGAACCTGGCTTTATATCCATGTTTGAAGACTATGTGACGAGCTTGATTGAAGGAACTGCACAAGGAAAAACCCTGGCACAACTTGTACAAGATTTTAATAGTAAGTGAAACCAAAGTGAAAGCCAAAACACTGAGTGGTCATTGTCTTGCTGCTGCTATTTCATTGCTTTGTAGTTCACATCACTTGGAAATCATTGCTTAGCTAGATATTTCTCTACTATTTTAGATCAAAACGAGACATCCAGAAGACGTCGTGAGGCGGAATACAGCGATGTCTATGTAGAACAACTTGTGTACGTCGGTCAAGTGACTTCAACCAACGTAGTCTTTGCTGTGGCTGAGAAATCCAGCTATGATCTCATTCCTGCTTCAGCGGCATGTGAGTTGTTGAAAAATACTGAAGTGAAGTGTTGGGCTGATGCTGTTACGTCTGTTGTTCCACCAAAGGCAACAGGAATGCCAGGTACAGGAACTCCTAATCCTGACAGTGAGTTTCCACTCTGGATTATCTATACCATTGCTGGATTATTACTTGTTGCTTTTATTATCATGTTGGTTGTAATTAGAAGAAACTCAAAGAGAGCAAAGAGGAAGGTATGTGTGCTTAGTTTGTGTTAAGATCTGAAAAAACTAAAACAAACGTAGCAAAATAAATGTTTCCCGGTCATGTTTCCCAAAGGTGGCCGGCAAAGCAAGAAGCAATAACCAGTAAAACGTTGTTTTCAAGTCATATTTTCCAGAGGTGGGTCAACCAGGAAACGTTGTTTCCCTGCAAATATTTTCTAGAGGTGGGCAAACCAGGAATTCCTGCAGTTTCGAAGCAACTATTTCCCAAAGGTGGGCAAAGCAGGAAACATTGTTTCTTAGCCATGCTTCCCAAATGTGGGCAAGCCAGGAAGCATTGTTTCCCAGGAAATGTTTCGACAACAATACTTCCCAATTTTTCCCCGTCATTATTAAGAGGAGATTTTTTTGTATGTTACGTAACACGCGCTCAAAACTAATGCGTATAATATATCGCTTGAGGTTATGACTGAATTCAAAATTTTTATTTTTCGATACGTTTCTCAATCGGCAAACAAACTTAAAAATATGTTTAGTGCTTTATCTGTAAAATAATGCTAAAATGAAGAGATTTTAGATGATACGCCAAAGAGAAAATGATGTCTGAAGTTCAGTAAGTTTTGCTTATATGGCTGTAAATATGGCGTCAATTTTAAAGCATCATTGATATTTGTAACTATTATTTTATGTTTCTGAACTGGCAGATGCATTTAAAAAGGTAGCTAACTCTATAAAGTAGAGAATAAAGCTAAAACAAAGTAATTTTGAGAGGAACGCCAAAAAGATTTTAGGCTTTGAACACTTTTCATTGCAAATACGTGACATTGAAAAAAAATTGCCTCTTAAACACTTGAATATATAAAAAAAGAACCCACACCCGATGAGCTCCATATATATCTGGAGCGAGAACTGGAGTCCAAAAAGTGAAGTCAGCTTCGTGTTAACCGCGCAAGCAAAAACAATAGAAAGAGACTGGAACCGATGTCCAATACTCCTTCAATTTTCGCCATGTTGGCCAGGAGTGTGCCGAAATTTCGTATTTTGACATCGATTTAAAAAATAACACCATTGTTTTATGAACTGATGACTTGGTTAGCGATACGGTCCGTTAGAAAAAACTGGAATTAGCTGGGGGAAATGGTATAAAAGCTGTTTACGACCTTCAGAGCTATTGAACGTCAATGGCCGCCATCTTGGATTCACTTTTCTCATAGACCGAGTGACTGAAGTTCTTACTCTAGATATATATGGAGTTCAGTGCCCACACCCAACTCATGGTCTAGGTATAAAAGTATTCGATTGATTTGTTAGAGAAACAACAACACATCTGTGCATTTTAATCAGTATGATAACGCGGTCACGCTTGGCTCGAACTCGATGTACGAGATTCCATCTGAAGTCAGAGATCAGAATTGTTATTCTCACAGTGGACCGTCCTATCCTTCTGTGGCCAACTCAAGCTACTTTGCCGATAGGGACTGCAATAGAGGCGAGCCTAGCACCAGTAGACAAAGCACCATGAATCCCCACATGACAAACACGTTGCCAGTGTACGAGAGTATTGACGGCAACCTCCATGCGAGAGTGCACGATGCTTGAGCAGAATTTGGAAGAAACGGATACGCAACAAGAGAATAAAACACGAAGAAATGAATATGAAGTGAGATAGTGATGACAACAACAACCATAGTTTTTACTGAAATATTTTAAAGGCACAATATGCACACTGCACAGTGAAAACTAGCATATTCTTTCGTAGCTTTTTATAAAGTTTTTTGCTGAAATATTTTGGCAAGAAGATATAACGTAAAAACCAAGTAAATAAACATTATATAGCATATATTACTCCAGTCCATGTTTGCACTATAGCAGATTAAGTGTCTTAACAAATTAAGTTTCATTGCCCTTGCGAAAATTTCACATATGATTTCACATGTGAAACGCCACTAGTAATAGAAAGACTCAGATTTGACTTCCACGACAACAACCTCGCGTCCTCTTACTGGCTTAGTCCGCATCTGATTGGTTAATCGGATATATCAAACGCATCTGATTGGTTAATCGGATTTATCAAACGCGTCTGATTGGTTAATCGGATATTTCAAATTCTTTTAATGGAAGCGGTAGTCAAATCTCAGCGTCTCTGATTGCATATGTGAAACTATGAATGTCAGATGTGAAATGAAAATTTCATATGCGAAAGTATTTCATGCATGTAAAGGTTCCTATATGTAATCATGGATAATAAAATAAATGGATAGGACTCTAGCTGACGTAAGTAAAAACAACCTGGTTCCAATCTGTGACGTCACGCGCATGGCAAAGTTCTCGGCATTTTTGTTGTTTTGCTATATTTTCCACTTTAAAAGAGTAATATTGAAGCATAAACTGGTCTAATTGTTTCAAAAACATGCCTAAGCCACGACAAAGTATTCAAGGTAAATGTTTTTCGTCTTTGTTTTGTATGTTTTTTACATTTGTAGCTACGAAATTGGCGTCCCCAATTTTAACGAAATTTGCGATGCATTTTTCACTGTTTAGTGCTTGAAATATTTGCTAAAATTGACTGGGAATACTCAGAGATTTCATCGTAGAATGGCGTAGTTATATTTATTTGCTCTTTGACTAAAATGTTTAGCTGTATTATTGCTAAACATGCCGTTTTTGAGAATTTGGTTTTCAACTAGGTTTCAACATCCAACCACGCCATCAGCCCATTGAAAACATTAGATCACGTCAGCTAGTTTCCTATCCATTTATTTTATTATCCATGATGTAATTAACAGTCATTGTGATGTGAACATAATTTATCATAGACATAGTGTTCAACAATCCTAACCTTTCGCGAATTATCCTTATGTTTCACCAAGGAAAATTTTATGACTGCACAAAACTACGTTATAGCCGGAAAGCAAAGAAGATATGTGCGCTTAGTTTCTCTAAGATCGAGAAAGAATACTATAAAACGTTACAGAAAAATATTCCCTGTGAGTTTTTCAAAGATTTAAAATTACATTTTACATTTAAATTAATTTACAATGTCATTGTAAAATTCTGCACTTCCATTGTTGAACATACTTGAAGCATCCTTTTAAATCTTTTTCAAGTAGTTCGAAAACAAACCACTAATGGCACTATGTCTCTCCAAGCTCCTGTGAAGGCGATGGATTAAATTAGATTAACTTATTCTTTGCAATTATTTGATTTGAAGATTTAAAGGGGCAATGTGACCGATTTTTGAGCAATTCTAACCCTCGCAAATTTTGCCCAAAACTGAACACTATATAAAGCGATAACAGACACGAAAAACATGTACAAAAGTCTGGATGGGCAAGATTACGCCAGGATTAAGATGGATTGTAAATGGCATCTTGATTAATTGTTGGCAGACACTTTTTCAAGTTTTAGTCAATTTTTATGAAAATGTCATGTTACATGTTGCGTGTAAGTTCAAAGTTGTTTAATATGATTCATATATCATAACTTAATCCATTTACAATGTTTATTTTTAACTTTGTAGTTCAGTTTTTAAATAAAAGGCATTTCAGGTCAAAAATCGGTGACATTGCCCTTTAAGACTCGTATTATACATTTGCATTAGTTCATCTAGATTACACTGTAGTTCATAACTTGAATACAAAGGCACAAGCACTTAGTTGTTTTTCTTAGACCTTTGTGCCTACAATCTACATTACAATAATTATGATCCAACATTTACATAGAGGAATTTTAGGCCGGTAAATAGCGAAAGTACAATACAGAGCAATTTTGGTTATATTGTCATGTTTTGCGCGCCAATGGGATAGCGTTGTCGGAAGAGAAACGTTTCATGATCCAAGAGAACCATTTTCGTGATCAAAGAGAAATATTTCCGTGATCGAAGAGCCATGTTTTCGTTTTTTTAATCAAAATTGCTATTTCGATAGAATAGAAAAATGCGCAATTTATAACAATGAATATAACAATGAGAATCAGAAAGCGAGTCCCCACTCCTACATAATTATTGAGTGTTT